ACACTTTAACAGACTGTTCATCGCCTAAGGTATAAATTCTAATCCCCAAACTAAAAAAAAAAGTTATCCTATCATATTATTGCTTTTTATACCGCAACATTTTATGAAATCTTCTTCTTCCTGTCAGTCCACTGAAAGAAGACCCCTCCTAATTATCGATCTATTGTTGGCGAATACCGATGCTCGATGTTATACGGTTAGTCGATTTGGTGGCTTTTAGATAATTGGGACTGAATTTCGGGAAGATCATTAATTTTTTGGTATATATCATAAGATGGTAGCTTTTTTCTGAGTTTTTTTTTTAATAAATTTTTTGTGTTTGAAATTTTGGTTGCAGTTTCAGTGATGAGGATTACCACAATTGGGGACATATTGACTCCATTTGTTCCTTCTCTGTATTTCTTTGCTTATATCTGGTGATGGTCAAATCAAGGTAATCGTTCTCCTTCTCTGTTTTTTTTCTTTTCTAAACGACTGTCATGCATGCATTGTTATGTGTGTTTCTTTTGGGTCCTTTTTGAATTAGTGTAGGATCCATAATTTAGTAAATGGTTGTTTCAATTTGACATTTATTCAGGGAGGGGCGTATGATTTTTATTTATGAATTGCGTGGCTCGGGTGTTTTGCAGTGTAACTTCTAATTGCTTTCAAAGTGTTAATTATTAAAAGTAGCGGAATCATACGGTATACTGTTGTTCTTCGTATGAAAATTTTCCCTGCTAAAATCCCCTATCAAGGGATATTCAGTGAGTTATCTTCTGAGATTTATATTGTCAATATGATTATATTTTATGTGATACACCCGGTTGTGCTGAAGAAAGCTTATACTTTCTATCACTTTTTGAGTTAAATTTGTCATTTGTTTTCCCAATTGAAACTCTACCTGTAAGTCAAATGTTTTGTGTGGTGTCGGGATTTTTCTGGATATTTTTGTGATAGAAAGTATTTGTCACTTAATTGAATCTTGTTCTTTAATCAGTATACTGCATACCCCTAATTTACAGTCATCTTCCTAATTTTTATTTAAAAGGTATTATTTGGACCATCTATTTATTTATTTTTTTGTTTTCCCAATTGAAGTTGTTGTTTTCTACTTAATTTCTAGTGGAAGTGGTCATTAGGGGTGATGGTGATTGGGGGAAACTTTCGAATTTTCAGAACAATAGATTTGCAAATGGAATGAAATTAGTTTTGAATATTAGGGGTAAGCACAATATTGCAATATACCGATTATGCTTACTTATTATAATATTTTCATTATTTATTTATTTTTTTCTTTGCAAATATTGATTTGTTTATTTATATATTTTGATTCAGGGAGAAATTCTGAGAACTTGCTCATGAGATTCTTCGTCAATACCTCAATTATTTCTTAATATGCTATACACAAAATTGTTAAATTTTTTCTTAAATTTGACCCTCTGCTTATATGTTTTATTTATATAAGAGCATCTGGTGTGTTCGAATGGTGGTTACATAGTCTTTTGTTATTATTGCGTGAATATATATCACTTGCAAAGTGTCACTAACCTCCTAAAGTTTGATGGCAGTTCTCTATATTTGGTTCACTATCAAATGTTGGTGCAACAATTGGGGCAATGTGTAATGGCAACATTGCAGATTACAATGGAAGAAAAAGGGTACGTATCATTCTTGCTTTCTTACATTTAAAAGTTCTTTAGTACGCTAATGTTTCTGGAAGCGACTAATAGTCTTTTGTCAAAATGCAGCCTTTGATGATTGTTGCAGTACCAAATATCATTAGGTGGCTTGCAATTCATTTACTCGGGTAAGTCTTTCTTTCTTTCTTTTTTCCCTCTTGGATTTGATATCTTTGTTGGTCCACAAACTGCTGGTAATACATTTGATTTAGTTTATCGTGCTTAGGATGTGTCATTTTTGTACATGGGAACGTTATTGGAGGGTTTTGGAGTGGGAATAATCTCTTTTATTTTTCATACAGTCAGAGAAGGAGTTTGACCAATGAAGCTATAGATAGGTGGAGTTTGTACCAAGGATCCAGTGTTATTTAGATAGTCTCTATTGTATGTTCTGATGGTCTTAATGTCTCAATTTTGCTTCTAGCTTTCTGGTCGGATTGGATGCATGGCCCGAGTAAGTCTGCTTAGAATTCTTAAACTGGCAAGTATATGAAAGAATAGAGGAAGAAAGTTAGTTTACTTGATTGCTTTGTGACAATGATGATGCAATCTGTCATGATAAGTTTATTCATTTTGTTAGACAGGGTTGTTTTTGGGGCAGACTCTTTCTGCTTTATTTCATCTGTTTTGCCGCATGTTTAGATTCTCTATTTGATCATGATAATAGTTTATTAGACGAAGTTATTAGTGAGAGCAGGTGCATTTCGGGGACATTCATAGAGATTGAAACAAAGATAGAAGTATGTTTAAATCATAAATCAATCTGACAAAAGATCGTATGTGTTGGGTTGTCCAATGTCCATAAATAAACTTCAGAGCAGAAAATGCATTCTTCTTATCTAATGAAGATGCCCATGGGTTGAAAAGTCGGAAGAGCAGAAAGGCACCACATTTATTTTCAAGACGATATAGCAGCTGAACGGATTAGGCTTTACTTTCATTTCGGTATCATTTTCGCTTCAGGTTATAGAAGGATAGAGTGGAGTTTAAATTGACTGCTTTGTAATAGTATAGGTACTTTTCACTAAATACAGGTACCATCTTTGATGACTGAAGTTTTAGTCCAAGACTCTTACGATAGCTGTGCAAATGTGCAGCTATAAATTTTTTTTAAAAAAAATCAGTAATTCATTTATCTATTAACACAAAATTGAAGTAGAGGGGGGCGCCCGGGCTGTTGCCCGGGCCAAGCATCTAGTAATAAATTATGATAGCATGCAGTTTTAGTACAGTACTAAAAATGAAAATCTAAACTGGTTAATAATTTTGGGATAGAGGAGTAGAAATTAAAAATGTTAATCTATATAATAATTTTATTAGCATATAAAATTTAATGTATATCTATATATAAAAGAATACTAATACGCATAAACTGATTTTAATATTAAATATTAATTTTTTCATTAAAAGATATGAAGAAATTCCAAATATTAGAAATTAAAAATGTTAAAATCTAATAAAAGGGGGAGAAACAACAACGGTTTACTCATTATTTGTTGTGTGTGAGTGAGAATATCAATTACCATATTAATAATGCTTACGTGATTAAAAAAAATCATAAATGTCTAATATATATAATCAATTACAAAATTGATATAACAAATTAAGAATTGTATTTATACAAACAAATTATATACAAAAATATATTTTTTAAAAAAAGAAAATAAGAATTGTTTTTATTATTTAGAAACAAGTAATTCCAATATGTATATTGTAAGCATCCAAACGCAAGAATTTGATATTAGAACCTTAATTCTAATGAATTCGTAAGATCTCCCAAACAAAGGAATTAAGATTGAATTACAATCTCAATATCTCATTTTTAATTATTTTAGATTATAATTCTAATTCATTCTAACCAAACGGAGCCTAAGAAAAAAAATCAACACATCTGTTTCAACTCTAAAAAAATCAATACTTCTTTCTCAACTCTCAGTGGAAATCTTCTTCATTTTTCTTTTTTAATTGCGAAGAAAAATCCTTTTTATAACAAACCAGATTTCATCTTTAATCATCAATAAAACCCATTACCCAACAATGATGCTTTTAAATCCCTACACAATTCTCGAGTTTTAAAAAATGATTGAATGAAGCATTATAAAAATTCAGCGTTCAGTGATAAATGATAAATGATAAGCCTATCACATATTTTTTGGCTAATAATTGAATTGGATATTCAGACTCACTTAATTAACTCAGATGGTATAATTTTAGTTATCAAACACACCTAATTTATAAGTACTTAATTATTTTAGGACTTAATCTATTTAAGATTTATTTGTGACAATTATCAAACGCATTTAATTTTATTAAGTATTTAAAGAAATTAAGTAACTAAATTAAGTGATTATCAAACATAGCCTTAGCTTCGATGAATCAAAATGAATCGATTTTAGAGTTCGGAAAATGAATTTATTGTTTTATTTCAATGTGATAATCTCCAAAAATAAATATAAACCATGATACTAACACAAAAATATATTGCTTTCACTGTTTGACTTACAAGATTAGCCAGTCAAGGGACGTTTTGGATATATCTTCAAACAATGGGGTATTTTGGTAATTTATCAATCCTCGAGGTGTTTTTGATATTAATCCAAAAGTTGATTGTTGCTAGGACTCATTATATTGGGTAACGGTTGACGCTCGCTCACATAAGTCTCAAATGGAAACCCTTTCAGCTGCTCGCTCTCTGTCTTAGTCCGGAAAGAACACGCGAGCGAGCAAATTAAATCGGTGCGCTAAACACTCCCCTTTTTGGTGTTTTAGAAGCTTTATCGTGTGCGGTTTAGGATTTTGATATGCTATAAAGTATCTTTAGCTCGAGGGAATCTAACGTTGCTAATCGCGGTGGTTGAAAATTTTCCATAGATTGTAGTGTGTGTTAGGTGTTTGATTCTTGGTGTCAGAGAAAAAATTATTCTTATGGCACCCGCTAGATATGGAACCTGGATGGCCAAATTGTTATTGGTCTAAACAAGTTCATTGTGGCGAATCCTTCGTCTTATTGAGTGAAAAGAACCATAACTCAAAATTATGATCGAATGGAAGGATCTCTCCACTGTGTTGTACTAGCTCAACTTGGAAAATTCAACTTTCTTTCGATCTTGTTTATTAGCTTCAGGGTGTTGCATGTGTGCTTCTTGAAATTTATTTATTATTGGTTCATAAGTAATCTTGTTTAATAATCTTGTTTTGATGTTGCTGCAACCTACATTTAATTTACTTACATTATATTGCATTTCTGACCCCACGTAGTGGATGGTCTTTTTTGCTAATCCTCAACTTTTTGTAAATATAAACAAATTCTAGGGTGCAAGGAGTGCTGGTTCTCCCTCAATGGAAATATCGGATGCAGAATCTAATAGAAGATTAGTATGTTTTCTTTCACTTATGCACCACATATTATTGTTATAAGTTTGACATTAATACTCAATTTTCTTCATTCATAGGGAAATGCACGATTTAAAGAGAAGAATTATAACGCGGCCATTGAGTATTATTCAAATAGTATTGGGTTGTTGCCTACTGCTGAATCTTATGCAAACAGGGCATTGGCTTACATTAAAATGAAAAGGTGAGTCACGCCTTTATTTTAGAATTTTGTAATATCCATCAACCTCAAAAACTTTAAATTTTATCCACGTAGCCAGCAATAAAGTTACATTAACTCCTCCACCTTTCATTAATTCAGGTATCAGGAGGCAGAAATTGATTGTACTGAGGCCTTGAAGTTAAACAGGAGCTGTTTGAATGCATATGAATCTCGTTTATATGCAAGAAGGCAACTTGGGAAGTTTGATAAGTCACTTGAAGGTATAATGTTGTCTTTAGGAATAAGTCACTTGAAGGTATTGCGATAATGGTAATTGATTTTTGTTCATTAACTTTTTTTTTGGGTCACAGATGCTAATGTTTGCTTGAGCTTAAAGCCAAATGATCAAAAAATTGAAAAAGAAATTGCTGAACTCAGGATTCTTGTTCAAGAGGTAAAACACTAAACAGTCTTTGATTTAGTTTAAAACTATAAAATCGAAAGCTTGTTGGTCTTGTTGACTTGTTGTAATTGAATTTTAAAGATAAATGATAGGATTGTCTCAAAACTCATTTGGTATTAGTGAAGAACGCCTTTGTTTTGGGGTTTGAGTTTGGAGATAAACAGAGTTGGACATGAATTTAATAGCTAGAGATTGACGCATATAATAAAACTCAAGAGTGGAGGAAGAGGAAAATGTGGCTTCTGTCTACAAATACACACACCTCTGTTGATATGAAGTGGCTGAAGGTAATCGGGAAAGATATTACTAGATGATAGCTACGAAATTTTAGTAAAAAGGTTGGGAGTTAAAAGAAAGTTCGTAGAGGGTTAAGATATCAAGATAAACGTGTAAAAAATAAGAGCTAAGAAACATGCATACTGCAGAAGGAAAGTATGTGTCATTTGTGGATACCCTAATGTGGTGAAGAGATATAACCACCCTTTTGAAATTTGATGATTGTTGTAATACTAAGCCCTGTTGCTGATTCTTAACTCTTTTTTTTTTTTTTTTCTCATTTTGTAAAATTTTTTAGGAAGCAGCAAGAAAGGTTTCGGATGCGAACTCGCTGAAAAATTTGGTATATTTCCTTTTGAAACTTATGCTTATACACCACGTGTTTGTAATAGATGATATCAGTGCTCATTTTTCTTTATGTGCAGGGCGATGAGCAATTTGAATTGCTGAACTATGGGCAAACGATAAAGTTCTATTCTGAAAGCATTGACTTGAATCCAACAGCCATAGTTTATGCAAAAAGAGCTTTGGCTTATATTAAAATTAAAAGGCAAGTTTTTATTACAGATTTTCTATATTTTCTGTAACTCCTAAATGTTTTAGTAGTTCTTTAGTTTGCCAATTACGGGCATTAACACATTTCCTTGTTTTAAATCAGATTCAGTGAGGCAGAGAATGATTGTGCTGAGGCCTTATCTCTAAACAGTGGTTATTCTGAAGCATATTTCTTTCGCTCACTTGCTAGAAAAGAACTTGGAAAAGTCCAAGACTCAATTAAGGGTGGGTTTAACCTTTTTGACTTTTGTCTGATTTTGGTGTATCAACTTTTCGCATGTTTTAACTTTTATTTTGGTCACAGATGCCATATCTGGCTTGGAATTGAACCCTGAAAACACGGAGCTCAGACAACATTGTGAAGAGCTTAAGGCTTTAGTTGAACAGGTATATGTTTTATGCAGGTAGTGTTCTTGAGTTTCGGATTCTAAAGTTTTCTTGTTACCAATTGCAGGGAGGGGAACATGTTTTTTTGGACATTAATGGAGGAATCGCGAAATATTGTTCTACTTTGGAATCAGCTGCCTCCCAGGCATCAAAAGAGCTCAAAATGAGCACAAAGGGATTGGTTAGAGAGATAGAAAAGCTTGGTTCCATGCTAGTAATGAACATGATAGTTTGTTTTATGGTTCTATGTGGCTGCCCTATGGGGAAGACTTTCCGGTTATATCTGATGGGTGTGTTTCTTTTGGTTGGCGGATATTTGATCATTAATGCATGGGGTTCTATGAGAGTGATAAATAACGACATTGAACTTGAGAGAGACAAGATTTCAGACCTTAAAACCAATATTCTTCTTTTAAGAGAGAAAGTCTTTGAAAAAGGTGTGTGGAACATTTTGACCAAAACTGATGCCATGTTAAAATCGCTGGTTGTCAAGGACAATGTTCGGTTCCATATTGTGTTTGCTGTAGTCATCCTACTGCTGCTTGGTGTTGTTTTGCCATTGACGTACTTTCTCTTGAAAGACAAAGGTAAACCTCTTTTAGTAATCAATTTTTAGGTCTTGTTCATCTGTTGATTTTCTTTTGCTGACATCTTTTTTGTTTGTTTGTTTGTTTGTTTGTTTGTTCGTTTAGAGGAGGGTGGCACTGAGTTGGGAGATGAGGCTATCAGAATGTTGGTGGGAGAGTTCTCCAGAAGAGCATCTAGCACTTAGGAGTTGGAATCTGGATAGAGTTTATGTTTTCTTAAATTAAAGAGATAGTAACTCAGTTGAGGATTGCGGTAGAGATAGTAACTCTTTTTAGAAATTGTGAGAACATGATTTATGTATTTAAATTTCTAAAATTCGTCTCAGATTGTTAATTTTCCAACTGTGACTACTGAATATTCTCATTGCTACGACTTGTGTTCTTGAAATGTTTTGCACTTTGTTGTGTAAAAAAGTTACTGGACAGGAATTTTGAATTTTATACAAGTAATGAAATAGACTGTTCATGTGGAATGGTCCAGGTAACGCAGTTGCCTTCCCCAATAGACTGTACCTTCTGAAACTATGGCAGCTTCAAATCAGTCCCCTGATGCACAACAGCTTGTATATATGTTGGCCATGCTTGACTTTTGATGGAGCATTTCGACCTGCACAGCAGCTGGCGGCTGGGCCTCAGGGTCATTTTTTTGTCTACAGGTAGAGCTGTGCATTTTCAGCTGTCCCCTGCAGGTGGAGGCTGCTGCTTGTCTCCAGACGTTACTCTGAGTTGATCCGGAGTCTCACCCCTGTTTGCTGCTGCATACGGATTGCCTCGCACTCTTCCATTCTTAGGAACCAGCTGGAGGTGTCTTGTGAACTTGACTTTTTTGTTTTCTGACATTGTCATAGGTGGTTACAATGCTTTACTCCATATTAGTCTCTCATCTTCGTGGGTCTCAAGTGCAAGATGCACATGTTCTTGCCACAGGTGTGTCTTGCTAGTCATGTATCTTTCTGCTTAATGAATTATAGCACTAGGTGGTGCTGATTTCAAAAAGAAAAAAAAAACCTCAAAAAGTCGGTGACTGTGGGTTATCATTCACCTCCCCCCGCACAATGTGCGGCCACACAACCTAGTACGATAAATAAAATTACGGAACTTTGAACTGTAGCAGTTTCTATGCCATCAGAGTTGAGAGGGTAGACCATAAAGGAACATTACAGAACTTTGAATCGGGATTCAGAGAGCAAACACTTATACCATGCGTTTCCTACTTGATGGATAAAGCAAGCAGAGGATTAGATAACCTAAAGAAAGGGAGATGGTGACCCACCTCACCGACCCCAAGTGTAGAAGCCTGAAGGAAACAAACTCTATATGACGACATCCTATCCTCAGGAAAAGCAGCTTTTTGCATCTTCTGGAGAACTAACACGTATGCTTCTCCTGTTGGCCTTCCATCAAAGTTGAATGCCGAATGGATTGAATCCCTCAGACAATCCAAACTCTATCGGCAGATTTTGTCATTTTGGTAGTAATCTGCCGCTTGAAGTAGCTTTGTCCTCCATTTCTCTCGCATCTGTGCTGTCCATATATTTGCCTCTATAGCAAACTCATCCGCTTCACCAACGATTACTTGATTTTGACGGGAGATGCTTCAAAATGAAATTTGCCTGTTCGTCTTACATTATATCACTGCAAGAGTGGGTTTTACATCACAATTGATGCAGCTAAACTTCAATATTGGACCGGTATATCAATGTAAATAGTCAGTCAATGACCCACCCAACATTGAATTCATTAATTAGAGCCAAGAAGAATAAGGCAACGCCATTCCTCTAAAAATCTCCAAAACAACCTAAAATAATCAATTACCCCAAAACACAAGAAGTTGATACCCAGCAAAAATTCCAGCTCCCGCCAAATTAAACTAACAATGATAAGCTCCAATAAAACTTGCACAAAAAGCTTCAAGTCGTCTCTGTCCGTGGAAACAGGCTCTGCAGACCGACCACTTTCAGATGCTCGTGGGTTAACCTTAAAAGTTGGCAAAAGAGTCATCTTTTTGATAAAACATAAAAGTTGTGAGCTTGAAGATGATAGAATAAAATCAAAAACTAAAAATTTGAGGTTTTTGTGGAGAAAAATAGACAGAGTGATTCCAGACATTAAAACCCAAAGGAAGAAGCCACACCACACGAGAAAAAAAAGGAAAAAGAAAGCCGCGCGTGGGCATTTTGAAAGTACGAAACTACCCCCGCAGTGGTTTTGGAAAAATCAAGGAAGAAAACACAGTTGATAAACTTCAGTTTAGTAACTTCCAAGTTCCCAACACCCCAAAGACATCACAACAAATAAAACTCCAATAAAGCGGTCACAGAATTGAGAAGTTAGAGATCCCATTCATCAAAGCCGTAATTAAGCATCCAGGTATTTGCCCTCGGTTTTCCTTTTGATTTAATCCTATTCCTTGATATCAATTTGGAATCTTATTTGGTTTCAATCTGTGATGATCGATGCATCTATGCTGTCCCCGGTGATTTAGAGTCGTGTTTATCTCTTAAGTTCTCATGAGGGATTGGGAAGCTTTGTCCTCTTTCTCTATTTACCTGGGTAAGTTTTGGTCTTGAAAAATCTGGTTGGAATATATACCTTCTACAAACCCAGATGAAAACTGTCTATTTACCTGGTCTTTTATGTTTTTAATTGCGTTTTCTACAACCCAACTCTGAACTGGGTGTATTGCTTTTCGGGGTACATGTTTTAAGTTTTTTCATAAAGCCCTTAATTTGATGCGGTTTCTTGTCAAAGTCGATGAATTTGAACCGCTGGCATTTAGTAGATTGATACTCTTCTTTCTGCAAATTACGTTATTATTGATGAGATTGCCGGGCATGATAGTTAAGATTACATTATTGCTAATGAGATTTGCCGGGCATGATCAATATGATTATATGTGTAGACTCCTCAAAAATCAAGGGGTGCTGAAAACTTTTTGTTTCTTCTTTCCATCATCTGCTAGAAATTGTCTGTCTTTGTGTTGTTTGGACCAAGATACCTAAACTTTGAGGACACTGGCCTGTTTTCATCATAGGATCGACTAAGGAGGCCGGAGATTATATTTTTCTGACTGGATTCTTGTTCTACGGGCGTCTACTTTTTTCTTACAATCTAGGCTGTAGATTGTAGCTAATGATTAATGCATCTGTTGTGCATTGTTTGGGTGTGATAAATGAATGTATCTCGTTTATTTCCCCTTCTGGGGGATAATTTCCATGTTGAATACTCATAAAAGTGATGGAGTTTTTGCAGACATGCCATTCAGGTGTTTAAGATGGATATGGGAGATTTTATATGTTGTAATACCTGCCATTGAATACTCCTACCCACATGAGACAAGTGTGTATCTCCCTGATGATGTAATGATAAATATACTTAGCAGACTACCCGCAGAATCTTTGCTTGCTTGTCAGAAAGTGTGCAAACAGTGGAGATCATTGACATCATCCCCCTGTTTTATCAGATTGTTCTTGCAAAGGGTCACTCCTGTCATTTTCATGCGTGTCAATTTCATTCGTACAAGCCACGGAATGTTAGCTGATGGACATGAAACCGCCTCTTTTCTTTTTGATCATACAACTAGTGGGACATTGAAGATTCAAAAGTTAAAACTCAAGGAAGATCTAATGCTTCCTGGGGATAACTACCCACTCATCCTATCTTCTTGTGGCGGATTCCTTCTATTTGCTTCCCCAGGACGCTATTACATTGTGAATCCTTTGACACAGGAACATGCTGGCTTCTATCGTCCTGAACCAGGTTATCTTCGTGGCTTTTTTTACCATTCTAGCAGAAATGAGTTTAAAATTCTTTATGCACTAAGGGTAGGTAATAACTATCTACATGAACATTACATTTACACTCTTGGAGCAAATAATTGGAGAAAGATAAAGGCACCGCATTTACCCTATTCTCCTCCTCCGGGAAAGTCAGCCCCGGCGATTTGTAATGGTTCTTTGCACTGGATTGTATGTCAGACTTCGGATTGGGAAAATGATCGACCTTGCTTGTGTAATATCCTTGTTTTTAAGATGGACGCAGAAGAGTTTTTTCTGTTGCCCCGTCCTTGGGAAACATCCTGGAAAAAGTTTGGTTATCAAACAATGAACCTCTTTGCACTAGGTGACAGTTTAGCCTTTTGCAATTTGAACTGCACTTTGGGGATGATCGAGGTACATATCTTGGAGGATTATGCAAGCGGGTTCTGGGTTCTAAAATGGACGCTTGATCTTCGCCGGGCTGAACGACCAGCTGTCGTGGATCACCCGAAACTAGTAAGTGTGAAACTGTTGCTCATCCATAATGAAGAATTGTGGTTGGATTGCTACGAAAGAGGAGTATATGTGTATCATCTTGAAAGGAATACAGTTAGAAGACTTGGAGGACCGCCCTGGAGTCTGTTTGCTGCATTTGGTAGAGGTATTGTCACACATGATTGCGTTCCTTATGTTAGGAGCCATTTGCGCCTCCCTGAGTCAATGTTTACGCAGAAACTTCCTCTGTGAGTGACTCATGGCTGTCTTCTCTTAAAGTTCAATTGAAGTCTATGCATAGTTTGTTTGTTAACATGCGTGGTCATGTGCTTTGTAGTTGGTTTAGCTTTCTTTTTTCCCCTTCGGTTTTTTAATAAGCTAAGAAGTTGTATGTGGACTGAATAATTGGGCTTATAAAATGTATGTAATGACAATAATATGTCTTAATTGAATCGTTATTTAAGAGTAGATTTGAGTAGCTGTTTAATGTAGTAGACAAGTTCGTAAAGAATCACCTTGCTTAGTACACCAATACTTCTGCTTCTTTTTTTTTTCCCCCGCCCTATGTCAGTGTAAATGGCAAATTAAGTGTTCATCACTTTGTATAAAAAATATAGTATAAAGCTTAGGGAATGGCATGTCATTTGTAGCATTTAGTGAGATGTGCTAAGGGTTCATTAATCTTAGCCAAGATTTAGAAAGATGACGCTTAAAAAATACGCCCTCTGTCAAGTGTGAACTATTTTTCTGAGACACATGAAGTAATATGAAATGGAGACTACATACCAATAGCAGGCTGCAGCAATCTCTGTAGTCCGATTGCATACCTTTACAGTGCTTCTCAGGGTCAGCAAATGTGTACTGGTTGGCACCCTTTTTTAAGAGTACTGAATCATTGCACAGAACACTGCCAGCTCTCTTGAGTGCGCAATGTATAACCAAGGAATCGTGTCTGCTTCGGGCATTTCATCGAACAGCCATTGAGCTGATTTCCTGATAGTTGGTCTGTGATTTTGAGATGGGTTTTGACAGTAACGGTTGATTGAGTTTGTCCCCATTGTCCATGAGAGCGAGGTGACAGAAGGAGTCTGATGATCAGAAATTGGTTAAGCAATAGATGATAATAATTTGTGTATAATAATTATTTATCAGATCAAACTCTCTGCTTCCTCTCCCTCCCCAGCGAAAATTGCAAAGCCGAGTCGAAATTTCTGAAATTTGTTTACTACTACTTTACTTCTTCTATGACAAGTGACAAGTCCAAGTTTTAGAGACAAGTCCCAAGTTCTATGGCAAGTGACAAGTCCCCAAGTTTTAGAGAAACGACGAATGCTCCCCTAAAAATTACTGTAAATTATGCTCCTCTCTCTTGACTGCTCCAAAACTGCAAAACATACCCCCAAATAACTATAACTATCCTGATTATGTATGAAATTTCCACGTGGGATATAATAATTTGTGATTGTTTGACTTGTCCAAAAATTGACTTTCGTTGACCTGAAAAGTGATGAAAATGTTCGACTCAATTGTCTCAAGAGTAAGAATCTGGTCAACTGCCTTTGTTCCCATGAGTATTCTTTCTTGGAATTGCAGGGGCATAAACAATGCATGTTCTAAGTATGTATTAGGTAGATTAGTTAAGAATTATAATCCTAATATTTTGTTTGTGATGGAGATCAAAGCCAGTAAGGTTAATGTTTTGGCTTGGCAGCAATCTTCTATTTTTAATAACTCAGTTGTAATAGATCATGTTGGACTTAGGGGGGGTTTGTGTCTCTTATGGTTACATGGTATTCAGTTAATTGTGCTCTATCAGAATGTCAATGTAATAGTTACTAAGGTTAGGGAAATTACAGGCCTGGAATGGTTGGTAATTTTTCTGTATGGTCCCTCTTTGCAGCAAGGCACGGCTGAATTATGGTCTCATTTAAATGGGATGATTCAGGACTTTAATTATCCTAGTATTTTGTTAGGAGAATTTAATCAAATTTTAGATCAGGAGGACAAGTTTGGTGGGCGCCCAGTTAGGCCTCAAGACACAAGAAACATACAAGAGTTATTGTCTTCTAATGATTTGGAGGAATTGAAATTATTTGGGCTGTTGGTATACATGGACAAACAAGAGACATGGACAGGAGGCAATTTTTGAGAGGTTAGATCGTGCTTTTGTCAACAAGCAATGGCTCACCACTTTTAACAAGGCTGTCATCATGTACCTTCCAATCATGAGCTCGGATCATGACCCAATTCTTGTGGAACTTAAGCAAGAACGCTCTCAGAAGAAGCAACAGAAATTTGAGCAGTTCTAGTCCAAATGTCCTTCTTCAAAGGATTTGGTAACTCAGGCTTGGGCTCATTCTCCAATTCATATTGATAGCCCACAAGATAGCCTCTCATTCCGACTGGATAGAACGTTGTCAAAACTCCATCAGTGGAGTAAAAGGCAGTATGGCAACTTAGATACTCTAGTCTTCAAGCTGACTGAGAAATTAGGACAAGCTCAAATGCTATGGAAAAGAAATAAATCAGATTAGCAGCTTACTATGTGGCTGGAACAGCACCGAGAGAATTTGGAGGAAGCATTACAGCTCCAATAGGACTATTGGCATCAGATGGCCAAGCTCAACTGGTCACAACTTGGTGACAGATATACCAAATTTTTCCATAAATGGGCTGCTAGGAAAAAAGGAAACGAATGGATCACTGAACTATGTGATGCTCAGGGATTATGGGTTCATGAACGTGATCAACTTAGCTCTCTGCTTCTGAGTCACTTCTCAAATCTTTATATGTCAGTGGAATCAAGTTCTCAGAATTCGCAATCTTCCACATTTCTCACCAGTCTTCTTGCAAATGTGAGTGAATTTTTGACCACAAATCAAGCAGCTCATTTAGATGCTCCATTTACAGAATCAGAAGTCTGGTCTGCCCTCAAGCAAATGTCTCCTTGGAAGTCTCCTGGACCTGATGGGATGCCGGCGGGTTTCTATCAACATTACAAGAACATAATTGGCTCTGATATCCAATCTTCAATTCTGAATGCTTTCAACACTATGTCTTTTCCCCCAGAATGGAACCAGACTCATTTGGTCCTCATCCCTAAATTATCTACTCCGAATGACTTCCGGCCAACCAGTCTGTGTAATGTCAAGTATAAAATTATAGCAAAGATGATTGTGAATCGTCTCAAGCATGTTATGAATGATTTTATTGATGAAAATCAGAATGGATTTGTTCCAGACAGAAATATTAGTGAGAATATTCTTATTGCTCATGAGGTCATTTAATGCATAAGGAAGCAAAAAGGGTGAGACAGGTTTGGCTGCTATCAAACTTGATATGAGTAAGGCCTATGATCGAGCTTCTTGGCCTTTCTTACAAGCTGTCCTTAACAAAGCAAACTTTCCATGATCGGGTTTTCTTGGCCTATGATCGGGTTTTTTTCTTACAGAAAAAACATATGAGAAAAAGAGTATATATTTTCCGACTCTTTTTCTCATATGTTTTTTTCTAGAAATACATAATAACAACTTGTGTAATTTTTGCTATAATTAACGTTGGCATTTGATAATTATGTGATTGATTGAACTAGAAAAAAGGAAATGCTCGTTCCATTAATTTTCACCTTAAATTTTATTTTAGATATATACTAGGCTAGTAGCTTATTTATGAGAAGCAAGTTAAGTATACATATCACTCGATGCACTAATATTAACTAGATTCTCGATTCTTGTGATCATGAAGAAGGGTGAAAAATCTGAATTTATCTCGGTTCGTAAGTAACGGAAAAAGTTTAGTGTCAATGGAATTCGAGAGTACGACGTTCAGAAAAAAATAATTATTGTTAGTTATTGTCCTTATCCTTTGAATATATTATCTTTTCTGAACGTTTTAGTCTTTTTGTAAAATGTGGTAAGTATTATACACTGTCACTGTTTTTTCTTTAATTTCATATAAATAAAACAAGTCCTACACCCTCCACCCTCTGCCTGTTTTGCTATAAATTTTTTTTAAAAAAAAAAACCAATGTCTTTTTGTTTCTGTCCAAGAAGTTTTAAACAAAGTGAAAAGGAAAAATGTTATAAAAATAAGGTATTTTGACTTTTTATAAGTTTAGCCTACTATACATTTTTAATTGACAAAAAAACCTTAAAATATATTTTCATGTTCGTTGTGTTCTCTTGATTTTTATAAAATATTTTTAAGATTTTTTCGTCGATTAGAAATATGTACTGGGTTAAACCTAAGATAAAAGACCTTAATCCAAAACGAAGCAACTAAGAGAAAAGGTGGAAATATGATAAAACCTAATTGATTCAATTTCAATGCGAAAAACTAATTGAGTGTAAATAAGTAAGAATGACAGAAATATATAAAGGTCAAAACCAGGTTGGGTCTAAATGCAATAGAATGAATGAGCTCAGAGTGAGGAAAAAGAAGAAGAAAATGAGGCGATACAGAGAGTGGGATTTCTTGAGGGTGGTTGCCCCTCTCTGTTCCGCCAATGAATTTTTCGTTCTTACCGAAAACCAAGCAAACCAACAGCCCTTAAAGAAACAAGAAGAAGAAATTGAAACAAGTTCTATTGCCGAACTGTGAAGAAGTTCTGGTCTTTGGCCCCTAGGAATTCAAGGATAAGACCACCGAATTTAATATGTTCTCTGCAGGGGGTGTTGCCGGAAAACAAGGCCGTCCTTGTTAAGGCTAAGCTGATTTTAAAGATTCCAAAAAGAAAATAAAGAAGGTTGGTTTTATTGATTTATGAATTGACTGCGCGAAGAAAATTCAATTAGGATAGAATTTAATTGAACTCTGTCATTTAAAAAACAACAATTACAGTTTTCAAATGATTAAGTCTGCCTTTTGAGATTAAGAAGATCCAAAATCTGGGTTGAATTTTCTGAATGGGGTAATGCCAAAAGTGGGCAGAATGTGACAACAACGGTTGCTACAACTGTGATTCTTGCATAGCGGGGCTACCTTGCAAAGTTTCAATTAGATTGCACTTTTCATTATTAATACCTCCTTGTCTTATTGGGTTTTTGGTTTGAATAGCGAAATAGAAATAGAAACCCCGCTACCCTCCCATCCATCCATATGAATTCCCCCAGCCCCTTTGCAAAGGGAAAGCTTTTCTCTTTTCTGTTTACAGAAAAAGGAAATGGCATTTTTCGTTTTGCCAGCTGCAACGCCGTTGTCTTCATCACTATCTTCATTATCATCGTCATCGTTGTCTACCTCTCCTTTTTCCCTGTCTCCGGGTTCTTCTTGTTCTCTGGGTCGGAGAAGCGTTTCCCAGCCGTTTCATAATTTAAACGTGAAATGTAAAATTGCTGAAACAATGAATGGAAAGCCTTGTGTTCCAATCATTAATGATCAAATCTTTCCCAAATTCTTGCAAGTTCGGTGCCTAGAAAATGCTGTCAAAAAAATGAAATCAAGCTGAAGATATTTTCGGGCATAGCAAATACTGTTCTTTCTCAGGAAATTACTTGGTACGTGGGCCTCAACCTGGGAAAAATTAATATAAAGCGGTTTATTGATGGTGAAATTTATGTTCAAGAGAGTGTCAGAGATCTTGTTAGTAAGAAGATTAGTATTAATAATCGCGTCGTATTTTCGCCTGATGTTGGAGGAGTTGCTAGAGCTCATGCTTTTGCCAAAAAGTGCTTTTGAAAAGAAAGGTTATTGTTATAGTGGATGACATGATTGACACAGCAGGAACAACTGCAAAAGGTGCAGCCCTTCTGCATGAGGAGGGGGCCAGGGAAGTTTATGCATGCAGTTTTTAGCCCTCTAGCAGTTGAGAGGTTGCCAAGTGCTTTGTTTCAATAAGTTATTGTCACTAATACAATCTCAGCAACGGAGAAAAATTATTTTCCACAGTTAACAGTTCTTTCAGTCGCAAACCTCCTGGGTGAAACAATTTGGCGAGTTTATGATAATTGTTCAGTGAGTAGCATTTACCTGTGAAGTGAGGGGAGATTCTTGAGATACACATGCGAAAGCAAGGACATTTGAAATACCACCTCCTTTCTCTCTTTTTGCTGAGGAAATACCTTGTGTTTTTCTTAACTTCCTACCACATGTGATTAACTTTCCCACACAAAATATGATCTCTCGCACATCACAACATTTTGGTGTCTGATTCAGTATCAATTTCAATATGACTAATCCCTTGTTTGTTTCTCGCAAGCCTATTACTATTCATGTCACCTATTCTAGAGCACAGAGGTATTGATGACGATGACAAATATATAACCAGGCCAAGTGACTGGCTTTTGCCTTGTAAAAAGGAGCTTCTAGACTAAAGTGAAAATGCTCAGTAGGAAATTCATTAGAGATGAATACATTTGTAGGATGTAGAAATTCCTCATGTTCAATGGTTTTATGTTACGTTTCGAAAAAAAAATGGTTTGATGTTGAAAAAGAAAAGAAAATAAAAAAGCGAAACAGAAATAGAAAAAGAACAAGTATAGGAATATATTCTTTGCTTCATGAAACTTAATCATCAATCTGTATCATGCCACTGATTGTTCTCTGTGTTTTGAAAAATAGCATTCTTTGTAGACGCAACATTTCTTGTTATAATAAAAAAAATATAGTAATAATGTCGTAGATAAATTTTTATGGAGAATAATAATAAATAAGTTGTGAAAATAATCGAGTGTTTTTAGGCCTTGTTCTTTTATAATACACTATATTTAATTCTACGGTGACAATGATTCTTTCTCATCCAACGGCTATAATTATCGATCGAACTATTCAGTCGACTGTACCACAGTCACTATATATACCCCAAATAGAAAGGGAAACAATGAGAGAAATTCAGAAAATAGGAAGAGGAAGAAGTGAAGGGTAAGTATTGAATTTGAGCCTGTGATTATTGGAATTCACTCTGAGCAAGGGCAAAACAGGGCATTGAGAGTAATGTGGGCGGCATCTTGGTTTGGCAATCCCGGAGGGCAGTTGTTGGAGAGATCGATCGGTTCTTAGTTCTTAGGTAGTTTTGAGTTTATTTGTTCTCTTTGTAATATTGTTTTAATTTAATTTAACAAAATATATTATTTACTCTGTTCTAAAATTATTGTTCAGTTTGAATTTTCACTTTTTGTTCAATTTGTACTAAAAATAAAAATTCGAACTAGACAATAATTTCGAGGCGGTTTCTTGAGGAATGGTATATTTTCAGCTCAAAAGGGGAGTTAATTATAACTTCTCAAATTTGTAGAGGTTAATTTCTAGTTTCTTCAAACGTCAGGGAGGAATCACGTAATACTTCTGTTGAAAGGGTTTTAGTGTTTACGGCTTCACGCCCCAACTGGGATCACCAAAGTTTGTATCTTTCAAACAAAAGTTTTGGATATCCGACGACCAATTGGAGATGGCTTTCAGACATTTCTTGAGCCGGAACAAAGCATTACTATCTGCAAATCCTTCCATTGTTTCCCAGGTCGCTAATTTCTCCTCCAAATCCTCCCAATATTTAGGTAATTCCCGAAACTTATACATTTCATGTCTGTTTTGTTTGTTTGAGGGTCTGTTCTGTTTTTGTTTGTTCGAGCTGAATATCGATTAATTTTTCGAGGTTAGAGAATAAATTTTCGATGTGGGTTGTGGGATTTTCTTGCAGTGAAGGTTGGAATTCCTGAGTTCTTGAGTGGGATTGGGAAAGGGCTAGAATCTCATGCGGCGTCACTTGAATCCGAGATTGGTGATTTACAGACATTGCTCGTCACTCGTAGCATGAAGCTCAGGCGTATTGAGCCCAAGATTCCTTGCAAACATGTAAGTCGATCAAACATTTCCTTCATTTCGTGGGATATAATTACAGGGTCAGAAGTTATGGTTTCCATTTTGTTTGAAGTTTGGTATTCTTCAGCATTCGGTGGGTGTGTTTATCCACATAGAGAGTTAGAAACCGAAAATAGAAGTGTAATTCCATGGTTTGGCTTAAGTTTCATCATTTGCCTTTTTTGTTTTTTGTCTTTTAAGTCGTGGAAGATTTGATTTTGAGGCTTTACTTTGTGTCGCGCTTGTTGCTGTTGGATCAAAATGACGAAAAGAATAGTAAATAAGTTATTTGGTCAGCTTGCTATCCTTGTCAGTGAAGTTGGATGGCACATGGATTCATAATCGATTGAACTTTGCATCTGCTAATTTAACTCAGATAATCACTCTGCTACATTAAGTTTCAGATGGCTCATTTCCGCTCTTTGTTTCTGTGAATGATGGATTGTTCACTCAGATTTTGAGTTTATTTTGGAGAGAACTAAATCTTTTATTTCCCAGTTTTTTCAGTGTTTTCAACAGTTTTTCTTTGAATTGAATACCCCATGACTAGATTTTTGTTTGATGTTTTATATCCTAATTCTCATTATGACACACGATAAAGGTTTAGAATCCTGCAGTAATTTCTTTCTGTTATAAAGTTGTGTTCTAACTAAGGAGCTCGCATATTGCTATCCTAGACTATTAGCATTAGCTGGAAGACATTTCCTTTTATTTTTTCTCTTTCCTGCTTCTCTTTTGGTTATTTGCATTTTGATGTTCTTGGATTACTATGTTAAGAGTCTGTACAGAAGCTGGTTATTTCCTTAACATGAGAAACAAAGACTATAATAGATTTTTGAAGCTTAGTGATACGGGACATGGAATAAAATAGATAAAGCAGACGTTACTTACTGAAACTGCAGCCACAAAATCGATCCTCTTCATATGGTGTTAAGTTGAAGGGACACTGTGGAACGGAATATTCCGGAGAGTGGATATGATTTGAGTGGTGAGAATGAGGTTCTTTGAAGTCGCATCCCATTGTTCATTTCTCCGACGTTTGTTAACTAAATCTCGTTGATAGCATCTGGTGACTAGTTAGTTTCCAGATTACTGTGTGATTTACTAGCGTCTTTGGCTATATTATAACTCCAATTTTAGATGGGGATACCAGTATGGTGTTGGGGCTCTTAACTTGCTAATGTTGCCTTAACATTTAGTATAATATCTAACACTGACACTGAGACTTGGGATGCTTTTGCCTTAGTATTAGTTCGCCCCTGTCACTAGACACTCTTTGTTATGCTTTGTAAATTTCGCCTTGGTTGTGTAGGTTCATTTGTCGAAGTTGTTAGTGTTGATATCCTTTTAGTAGCATCCCGTTACCAACTGGAACTCTATTACGTGTGATTGGTTTGTTTGAAATTAGATTCTGGGAGCCAATTTTGGTCAAAGATTAGATTTATTATTTGTAAAGACAGAGTAAGCGGACTGCATTCTCTTCCTTTATCTTTATACTTGATGTGGTTTCACCTGTTCGTGTACAACTCTTTATTGAAGAATGAATCATAATTGGTCGAAGATTAGATTTATTATTTGTAAAGACAGAGTAAGCAGACTGCATTCTCTTCCTTTATCTTTATACTTGATGTGGTTTCACCTGTTCGTGTACAACTCTTTTTTGAAGAATGAATCATAATGACATTGAACATATCTTGCAGAGGAAGTTGATATTGAAGTATGCGCACAAGTATCGACTGGGACTTTGGAGACCTAGAGCTGAGGCTGTGAAATCCTAATTATCTAGATTCTAGAGTGATTGTTCAACTTATGTTTAGTTTGATATTTGAACAGTCTGGATGGTAGCAGTGAAACTACCTCTGTAATCAGTGATTGCAATGCATTTTTGTTCCTTGTTTCTTTTCTCAATCTACTACAGTAAAAGTTACGGGAAAATGTGGTTCATCCATTGACAAGTTGTGATATGCCCGACCTTTGTTGTACCATTCTATACTACTGTTTTTCTCGAGTAGAATCAAATCACGGAGCTACTCAAAAGTTGGAAGATTCAAGTTCCTTCTATCAATTTCTTTTCCTTCTGTTATGTCTTGAAGAGAAGTCAAGACCAAGTTTCAAAGTGAAGGGGAATTGAATGATTGTCAGCCTGCGCTCTTGCTTTAGCAAAAGCCAGCAAGCAGAAGGCACTGACTTGGAAAGATTATCACAAGTAACCAGCTAAGCAATGTGCAACATGTTGATTTCGATGACAATGTCAAGTCCTGTTTTCCTGCTATATTAAGTAAAGACTACGAAATTGCTCAGCTGAATTAAATCCGAGTTGTAAATTTTTAGTAGTCCAGCTCCACTCCTTCGCCAAATTAAAGTTATGCAGACAAAAAGAATTGAATAAATGAAACAAAAAATGCACTCATGGAGCTTTAAATCCATTTCAACCATTTTAAAACAGTGTAAGAACTCTAACCCGTGACTAATGCCTCAAATAAAAGTCAAAACTACTCCTGACAACTTCTTCGGAGGTCTCAGTTCTGTTAAGTGGTGAGTGGAAACCAGCAGGTGTAAACATCAGCTTCTAATTGAAAATCTGTTAGTGAAGATCAGCAGCTTCGAATGTAAGGATCGCCGCCCGCATCTCAAAATTAGGAAAGTAGCATTTTTGTCATCTTCTACTATACAAAAAGCTGCAGTTGTAATCATTTCACTGCCGTTCTTCCTATACCTAGCAATATGAGAAGCCAAAATTCAGTAAAGCAGGATATTAAAGGAAGACTCAAGTCTAAACTCTGTATGAATCTATACAAATATCTATTATTGTTCATATTGTGGATGAAATTTAAATGGAGTATAGCAGTGTAGGCTTTCAAACTTGTATTAAGGATGCTGCAATTAGAGGTCCCAAAATATCACTGCATCATGAACAGCTTAATTAACTTTAAAGTTGCGGTGATAGAGAATGATGTGGCACTACTTGTTCTGAAGAATAATGTATTCTATTAACAGAAATAACAGGTAAGAAACAATGTATATACTGCATTCACAAGAAAAAGTCAGAGAGGTGAATAGATGTATACTTGGAATGCCGGCGTGATAACACACTGTCACACTCGTGATCCAAGAAGACCTGAAAGTTGATTTTTGAGCATGAGGAACTGCATTGTGCCGCTTTGCATAACATGAGAAGCATGGTAGAAATACAAATTCAAAGAGACCACGAAGTACATTAAGACACTATAATTGGAAATCGAAATCCAGAAATTTGATATATCAACCTGACAAGTTCATATAAGATTCACACATTCACCTCTACCAGAAAATGTTTCTCTATACTTCATGGATCCATTATCTTGGAATATACGGCTCTAAGAATGAATAAAAGGAACAAAGGTTTTGAATTTACAGATAAAAAATGGAATGGAAAATAAAAGAAGTCCCAAGCAACAGCATAAAACCTCCATGCCCTTTTTCAAGGAAAATGATCAAATAACTGCCACATAAAACGTGATGATTTGGACCGTTTCATTAGAAAGGATTGACACATTTGCAACCATTCCTCATTCCTTATTGCTCCTATCGGAGTTAGACTAGTTCCCTGACTGTACATAATTTTCATTTTTGGTGGACTAACTCATCATTTAGACATTAATGTCAGAATTTGTTGTCCAGAAACGTCACTGCACTTGCAAACGTATTTCAGAAAGGCAGACATAAATGACCCTCTACAATAATGAGATATGCATAAACCAAAAAAACCATCCTTCATCATCAATTTAGTTTTCTAGACTTCTAGTGGTTCATCAATATAGTATAAGGGGAGGGGCAGAGCAAACTGATTTCATTCTATACTTTGTTTGTCCGAATTCACCAAAATCAAACATCAAATGATTAAATCCTTATCTTGGTCACCTCAACAAGAAACATCCACTTCAGCTAAAAATCAATACGCTAGGAGTGACAAACTCAATTGGCAAATACAAAAAGCCTTATGATGTGGCTAAAGAACTCAGTGTTTGAAAAAATATGTGTTTGAAATCAGAAACAGAGATATTCATAATTACTGATGTAGATGCAGATAGTTTCTCAAAGCATTCACTTCCTATATTCTTGACATCTTCAGAAAACAAAGCCTATTAAACATTCAAAAAGGAGTCCAGGATACATAATTACTATGATCGCTTAGTTCATTCTTCAAATCAAAGGGATAAAGAACTATAAGTTCAAATAATTCCATAATCCTGAAATCTGAGACTAAATCAGCTTGCAGCTGAACAAAGAGAGGGAAAGGTCAAATGGTTTGGATTAGTTACTAAAAGGTCTCAATCACATTAATGTATAACATAATTAGTTATGAAAGCAGATGCTAGATGAGGAAGCTGAGCACAAGTCGAAACTTACAACCTCAGTAGTAAAGTAAAATGTGAGAGGATGAAAAAAAAACCCGGACTCACAAATATAGTTAAAAACAATATGGCAGAAGAAATAAAACTCAACTGGTAACAAGCATGAACGAGTTTAGAAAATTCTTTTTACTTTGCACCTCCTTTGACATGTAATAGCGTTCAAAAACTAGAACACTGCAAATAGCAGCTGGCACTTCTGAAAAGACAAATATTATATTGAGTTTATAAAACAAACTCAATCTGATGGGACGGTTACCTTGAAAAATAATCACAAAGAAAAAGAGTGCTGTAATCACCATTGCTATCACATTACTGGTCTTCGATGATGTTTTCTCCTTTCTCATTTTATCCAGTGCCTTGCGCCGCTCAGTCCTTTTACGCTTTAAAATAGCAAGCTCAGATATTTCTTTGACCAACTTCATATCAGCAGGATGCAACATGGGGCCCCCAGGAGGCCGAGGAGGTTTTGGAGGCCATTTGGATTTTGGCGCTTTTGACTTTTCTTGAACTGTTTTCTTAGCAGCAAAACTTTCAACCTCTTCCCCAAAATTCCCAGCTATTTTCTCCCAATTGTTGACAAAGATGTCATCGGAATTCGACACTTTATCATCGGAACAAAAGTCCTGTTCACTCTTTGCTAATGCATCATGTGATCCTTGTCTCAGAAACGCACTCAATGCCCTATGCAATCCTTCCTTTGAATTTCCACAATCCAATTTCTGATGTTTGCCTCCTCCATCCTCCTCACTAGTATTGCTACCACTCTCTAAATCAATCTCTGCATCACCTCTTCTTTGATCTAAATGATCCATCACATTCTCAATACTCTAATCTTAAACTTCCATCAACCAAAAACCAGACACAACCAATGAAATTTCTATCTCAAGCCCCAGTTCTCACAGAGATGCAACTAAATACTTTTTACATCATACCATCCAAAACAACCCCTCCATGTAGCTAAATTCAGTTAAACTAACAGTGAAGCTTTCTCTTCTCAGCCATTTGGAATAAATAACTAAGCTCCTTAAATACCTCTGAATTAACACCTACTTAACTACATCTACCACGAGTCTGGTCAAAGGAGATACATGAGAACTGTTGAGAAAATCATCATATACAAGGAAGCAGCTACTTTGTGAAATAAAAATCCTAATCTTCACATCCCAGTTTCTCCGGACTCCAAATGGGTTACACACAAGAAGTCGTCAGGTTGACCTGCTTAAAGAAACACAAATCATCAAAAAAAAAAATGCCAAATAGCAGCAGCCAGATAACAGGACAGGGAACAAAAGGAAAAAATTAAATTAGGTGACAGATAAATATAAGGAAGAGAACAATTCACACAAACAAATCCTATCATGGCCTATTTCGCAGCTCAAAAAAAAAAAAAAAAAGCTCCAGAACAGAATTGATGGTGCAAATGAAGGGGAAACAAAAAATGTGATCTTTATCAAATTTCTCCCACCATAAAAGGCACATTCCTATTGAGATGTTCTGTTTATACCTCAATTAAGCTTCTCTAAACTTCCCATTGCACCAGTAAGATCATTGCGGAAGAGAATTCAAATTGGATGAAGCAAACATGTTCCCCAAACACAGAATTGCATTGTAAAATTGATTTGATAACTTAACAAAGATAGGGGGCTTACATGCTTTTCTCATCTTGATCAAGCAAACGTTTTTTTTTTGTTCGGCGAGGAAAACAGGAAGATCGGAAGCCACCCTTTTTTGCAGAATTCGTAAAATGGTAATGAAATCTCAGAGATCTTGGTCATGTGCAGGAACTGTGTATAATCAGGTTCGGCGATGCAGGAAACGGTGTCGTTAGAATAATAATAATAATTCGTGGCGATAACCCGTTGTTTTTGACAGGAATATTTGTCAAAGGTCCGAATTTTGAGGATTTTTACAAATTCAAACATTGTGGTTGTGTGTCCCCACTTATTTTAATCACGTCTTGAGATATGTTTCTCACCGTCCCCCAGTTCAACCATTTAAATTTGATAAATAACACGGTAAAATTATTATTATAGCCCACTTTTATAAGACACATCTTCCATTTTTATTTTAATTTTGTTTAGTACAAAAAATATCTTATCACTGACTAATAAAATAGTGCATAGTTGTTTGTTGAGACAAAGCTAATAATAATATTACACTAGTATTAAGGGAAAATTTCTATGGGGGTTCTCTAGCTATTTTGTTCCACTCTTTTCACAAAACACTAGTACTATTTGGTGGTGTTAGACTACTTCAGTAATTCGTTTATAAAATGCTTTAATTTTGTTTTAAATTCGTAGAGTTACAAAATTTACATCTCTAATAAAGATGTCTTCATCATACGTCTAGTACCTAATTAACTTCGAAACTAACTTTACGTTTGTTTCGTTTTTTTAGTGTGTATTTTTAGGTGTTTTTTGTATTGGGAATGTAAAATAATGTATTAAAAATATAAAAAGGTATACTGGAATGGGACAGTTTTTATTATTTAATTCTAAAAAAACCAACTAAAAAAGAAAACAAACAAAGCCTAAAGCACTTGAACTACAATATAATATATCTGAAATGGTAGAAAAAGAGCGTATGGATTATGGATAAACAAATCAGGCCTGGAAGTCGTGGAGCCACCAATCTCAGAGACCATACACTCAGCTGCCAACCCAAGAAGTAAAGAAGACATTATGTCGGCTTCAGCTTTAGGTCCTCCTCCTCCTCCCTGGGTGTTTCGCTCTCATTTCGCCAGCAAGAAGAAGTTAGCCACCCGTTGCGAGTTGCGGAGGAGGGACGGCATAAACGACGACGATGGGCCAAAGCCAAGGGCAAAGAAAACCGGAAGCGATCTGGCGCGACTGGCAGCTTCACTGTTTGGCACCGGTTTCGTGTTGGGGCCAATCATCGATGGATTACATTCCAGGGTAGGGCTTGTGGTGTACCAGAATGGCGCCATTGATATTGGTCCACTTCACACCAACATCTGGGTTCCCCCATTGCTTGGACTGTATTACACTGTGGTTGGCTTGCTGCAACTTTCACTTGACCCAACCAATGCTAAAGCTCCCAGCCTTCAGAAAACTGCTGCTTCTCTTTTGTGAGTTACCCTCATCCTAACCCTTCGCAATATTACTTCAGAAACATACTGCATTTATCAGTTAGGAGATCGAGCTCGAGTTGGCCATCTAGGCCGTGAGCTTGAACTCAATCACACTACAGCACTCAAGTAATTAAGCTCGTGTTTCGTATCTGATGCTAAATGCGCATTGTCGAGGTCAGCTGTGGTCTGGTACCAGCTGATCTTTAATAAAAGGATATATATGATGTAAATGACAGAATTCAAAAATGCCTAGTCAATACTGATTGAAATCCTGGGTTTGTGCCAGAGCACTGGTGTTATTCATTGAACTGAGTGCCGAACTCTACAAGGCTGGAACACCAGATAATATAGAAGCATACACACTCTTTGCAGCAGCACAACTCATGTGGCTCCTCTTTGACAACACTGCCTCTGGATTTCTGTGGGCTTCTATTCTAGGCATTGCCTGTCCTCTCTCTGAGATTCCCTGCATGAAGTAATTTCCTACTTTGAAAATGTCCCTGTTTTACCATTTTTATTTCCCTTCTTTAGCTGAAGAGACCCATATAAAAATCCCAGGTTTTTCAATCTCTGGTACTACCCCCAAGCAAATGTCGAGATTTTCGGCCAGGTAACAACTCAGCAAGAAAATGAATTGGTCACTCATCAGACATTCAATCCTGCTAGCCAGATATAAGTTCAGCCAGTTGATTTTCCTGATTCTGATGCAATGCAGGGGCTTGTTACTTGGACCATCACTTGCTACTTTGCCTACACCCCATTCTTGATCAATTTATCACGTTGGCTCAAATCTATAATTCTTGATCCTGCTGACTCTTCGGATGATGTTACCCAAAACTGAATCAGTCTCCCTGTTATGCCGATGCATCAACCTCTGCCCATATGGTTTCAGCAGCGGGTGAAAATTATGATAACCTGATTTAGGGGCTGGCCAATTCAGACCATTATCCACCGCTTGACCAGATGATCCTAGTTTTTATCAATTGAAGGATTCAAAATGAAATGGGAATGTATATATTCAGGTTAGCATTCTATCAAAGTAGACAACAGCATGATTCGCACGTCTGCTATACTTTCTTATTTTTACTCGAGAAATAATCATCTGTGAGCCAGAATCCGGAAAACACATATATTACAGACATCTAACTGCCACTTCTTTGGCCTAGTGGAATTTTCTTTTTATCCAGAATTTGATTAGCAAAGCTACTTTGTATACAATACAAGTATAACAAGAAACATCAGGCATGCATCTCAATGTATCTAGTATAAAAATCCACCTCTGACAAGGAAGCAAAATGTGGAAGATCATCTGCTTACCCTCCAAGCAGCCTTCCATGCTTAAGTTGAAGCTAGTCTGCGAAAACAACGTTGACAATAGATGGGAACCTCTCCTTTATTGCAGCTTTGATTCCTGATCCAATGGACTCAGGCCCCTCGTATTTCACGATACAATCGCTTCCCTCGACAGATAGCACCTGTACGCTACCACCATAGTTTTTAATGGCCGGTCTCAGCACATCAAGATGACTATTCACTGCCTCGGCAGTAACCTCTTTTATCTGCTCATCGTAGCCCACTTGGCGGATTTCCTTAACAGCATCACCGAATTTTTCCTTGAGTACTCTTTCAATTCCCATTGTCATCGTTGTGGTTGAACTGGGACAGCTTTCACATGCTCCTAATTATGTCCAATTGAACAGCAAAATTAGAACTAATAAACTAGCCACAGGTTAAAGTCCATTCGGGCAGAAGGTTGAAACTAAAGCTTTGGGGGCTCTACTACAATTCACAAACAAAACGGCAAAAAGGAAAAATAAAAAGAAACAAAAGAGAGCAGAAATGCTAATAACCAATCATTTCCGTATCCACATTATCTTTCGCTAACATGTGTGGAAGTCCAGCAATCTTGCTTACCAGAGGGCCTAATGAACTTTCAGTGAGCAAATAACATTGAAATGATTAGCAAGGAGTGGTTGATTTTGGCACGTACCTTGAAGCTGGAGAGAAATGACGCCGTCTTCAACGGAAACTACATCAACGTTGCCACCGTCGGCGATTAGGTAAGGCCGGACGTCCTCCAGTACCATGTCCACGTTCTCCGCCGTCAGCTCGTATTGAGCGGCCGAGTATAGTCCTCCTCCCCCGGACGACGATGACACAGAAGCCGAACCACTTGCCCCCGATCTCGCCGCCGTTACTCGCCTCTGTTGGTGCTTTTTGAGGGAACCCAAAGCCGCCGGCGTCGGGATATTGAAACAGAAGTTTCGCAGAAGTACTGTGTTCCGTCGCGTCGGCGGTGGTGAATTTGTGAATCGGAGAAAACAGGGGGCGGCTGCCGCCATTTCTGGTTATCCTCAAGAGCGCGCCTCCCCACGAAAAATAACTAACAAGGCAAGATTTCTTCTCTATTTACCATTTTGGTACCTATTAAATTAATGTGGAGCTCGTGAGATGTTCGGGATTATCACGTGCAATATCAAATTGGCAAAATTTCAAAGTTTGACACGTATTTTGGGAAAAAGCAAAACATAATTAAAAATTTAAAAAGTTGGACAAAAACAAAAGACACCATGAAAGTTGAAACCAATTGCATTTTGGTCAGCTCTCAGCTCAGCTAAAAAAATATTCAAAAAGCATTAAATCATTCTGTGGTCATTACTTTGACACAAAGGTTAACTGTAAATTTGTGGTCACCAACTAATCATCCTCATAGTTTATCACTTTTCAACATTTACACTTTACAGTCATTCATATGCTGTACATTTGTCTCATGTACTTTTGATAAATAACTTGTTTTAAAGGATTTAAATTGTTTTGTGATTAGTGCAATTGGGATTTCGAGAATCAAGGAAAAGATAGATGAGTAGGTGTCCCTTTAATTTGTTTTTCAGGCCAATATAATGTAATAGATAGAAAGCCAATGTTATAGTTCGGGTGAAGTCTTAAGAATTTATGCTCATGTTGAAAAAATAAAAATGAAAATCTAACCGAAACGACTTTAAGAGTATTACAATAGTGATGATGATCTTAACGACATTTTTAGGATATGTTTGTTTCGTTTTTTAATGTATGTTTTTAGGTATTTTTTATATTGAGAATGTAAAAAAAGTGTATTAGAAATATAAAATGGTATGATGGGATGGGATAGTTATTAATATTTTAATTTAAAAATATCCAAAAAAAAAAAAACAAACTAAAAGTGAGTTCTCAGAAGAGTTAGAAGTCTTTTATTTCAAACCGTAACTGTTGATCTGTGTTCTTTCTCTTCTAAATGCATTAACGAACATTTAGAATACTGTCCAATCTTGTGTTGATACGACACCGTACACTGATAATGAAGTACTCCATTAAGTCATCAGCGTGCATGAAATAAATACTGTTGTATGTTCATGTCGTTTAATATTAACTAGATGCTTGCCTCGGGAAATGTTTGGGGTGCCACTTGTATTTTTAAATCGATTAAATAAAAAATACGAATCATTCTTAAAAGAATAAAAAAAAATTGAAGAATAAAAATCGATTGAAAGTGCAGGAAGTGAGTTCACATAAATCTATGCCCAGATTTACAACAGTTAACTTATGCCTGGGTTTACATAAATCATAAACTAACATCTACAACAGAAGAATAAAAAAAATCATCCTTAAAAAATCAAATTTCTTTTATGACAGCTTATTTTTTCTCTGTTTAGAAAGAGATGGATTGATAATTGATGTCTGATTTTAAGTAATTGATTTAAAGGCCTAGGTGTGAGAGAAGAGCGAAATAGAAGAGATCCTTTGAAATTGGGGATTGGGAAGACATTACTCGTATTTTACTTTATTTAATGGAATTTCCTTACATTTGATTTTATCAACTAAATATTGTTGTTTTAAAGGATTAGTATATACCTATAATTAAGAGATTTTATATAGCTATAATTAAGGAATTTATGTATTTATCTATTCCATCTTTTTTTTTCTGATTAGTTAGAGTGCCACGTGTCAAAAATGATTTTGTATTAAAAATAGTTTTTGGTAGAAAATTTTCATTGTGGTACTGAAACATGGCCTTTTTGTTTGCTGCTTTAATTACGTACTATTGATATATATATATATATATATGTAGATATATACGTGTATATAAAACGAATACATTTTACTTTTACGTTATCATTTTCATAGTAAGTCTAGAAAGACTTATAAATCATTTTTTTTTTAACTTCTTATCTTTGATTAAACTTGTGTTCTCTAGTGGACCTTGGGTGTTTATTACGTACCATTTAAAAAAAAAATAAAAATAAAATCGAGCGATAATCATATATTAATAAAAAGATAAGAATGGATAACTAACAAATTATTCCAAAAGATTACAACCAAACTAAAGCTGAAATTATAACAATCCTCCATACCACTAGTGAAGAACATATCATCCCAAATTTTGAAAAATTATATGAACCTCTAATCGCTAGAAACTACTGTTAATATGATCTAAAATTACACTTTCTTTATTAATCTCCGGACTGTAAACTTCAGATCTGCACCACATGCTTCCTTCCTTCCAGCACGGGTTATAAACTTCACGGGCTATGATCTAAACTTACACGCCCTTTCCCCCGTCACCTTTCCCCCGTCAATTTTGAGTGTCATAAAACTAAAAAGTCAGTAGATAGACTCTCATGGACCTTATTTTACACATAAAAAATGGTAGGATGACATGAGAACTTAGTATTATAACATACACATATGGCAAAAAATTATTAATTAATAAAAATGGGAACCACCTAGCCCTGCAAATCACCTCATGAGAGCAGCCACGTAATCCAAACATCCGAATTATACAAGCTAGTGTATCCTACAAGTTATACTAACCGAACTTGTTGTTATTTGACAGATTTTAGTTACTTTCTCGGTCATAATTTCTGGTCCACATCCTACATTATTTTTAACTCCACGCTTGATTTCTTTAATCAAACCGTTATACTACTAAGTACTAACTGTCCTTCGAGTTTGACAACTCAACATGACTAAAGGTATCCCACAAATCAATTATGGCATTCTCTCCCGAAAAATAATCTAGTACATATTTGAAAAGATAATATGAACTATTTTTTAATTTTTTTTTTCAGATAGAAATTCATATGATATTATCAATTTGGAGGAATGGTGATATGTGTTTAACCAGATGAAATTTAGAAGACACAACACAGATTGAGTTCCAGATTATTTATTATTATTATACTATGTTTCTATTCTAGTTAGGTACTTAGGTTGTAGATTCATAGGTTTAGTTAGTTTTAGTAACTGTCCAACGCCATTTTATAACACATTAGTAAAGGAAAAATAACACAAACAATGCGTGAACTTACATTTGGCTCTCAAAAAGAGACTTATTATATTTGGCTCATTAAAATTCACCAAAAGAACGCTCAAACTATGGGACGCCGAAGTGCCAATTTTTTTTTTTTTGTGTTGTCATAGAGAAGAGAACAGCATGACACACAGTCACGCACCAAACCAAAAAGCGGGGAAAAAGGAAGTGTATTTCCTCCATTTGACGTGTTGTGATTTGATTTCGTATCGTATCGTTTTGCTGGCACTGGCACAGGCACAAACATCCCATTGGACTCCATGCATTTACTCCTATTTGTATTTAATTATTAAGCTAAGGCCAAATGAGCGTCACTTTACATGTCCAGTTGTAATGACAACATCGGGGACCGTACTCTACTTCGATACATCCGAAAACGGTAACAAACTTGATGCAATTTATACACAAACCCCTAAAAATTACTACTAAAATCTCTTAAAGGGGATTTTTATTCGATCAAACAACAATTAGGCTTCAAATTGAGTTGTCACTTTACGGTAAAGTGGAATTATCATCATGTAAGTAAATGATGCTTAAAAGGCAAGCAGACACAAACTTCCCACATTCACTAACCAAAATACAGATGCCAATATTATACGGATTGATGATCAAACAAAAATAAAAAATTAAGATCGTCGATTCAGAAACGTGACATTGTGGAATTAAGAATTTCGTAAAGAATAAATGGATACTATTACTTTAATATAGATAAGAGATGACATTAGTATCGTTGATGTTAAAATCTAAAACTCAAGTATAGTAGTACTAGTATGGGATTTTTTTTTTTTTTTTTTAAAAAAAAAGAAGAAGAGGAAAACCAAGAAGAGGTTGGGTGTCATTTAAAAAGGAAGCTTGGAACTTGGTACAAGTATGGGGAAAGGGGGATTTCATTCTTTCTGTTTCAGTTACTAGTAGAATAGGAAATTGGGTCAAAAACAGAAACCACAAATTAAATAGTGGGGTGGGGGAGTAATAATGAAAAAAATGGTCAATTAAATTTATAAAGCCCAATTTGATCCCAAATCGACAAAGCCAATGAAGGCAACAGCTCCTCCTCCACCTCCACCTCCACCTTCCTCTTCTGTCAAATCCACCCACCCCATCCCCACCAAATCTTCCCGAGCCGCCAAAGCCGAGCATTTACGCGCCCTCAAGTCCGACCTCAAGTGGCCCACTCAGAAGCCAGCTCTCGTCGAGGTCACTTCCGACGAGGAAGGATTCAAAGGTGCGTGGTACGTCGCCACCCTCCTCCACTTGCCCTTCTCCAATTCGCCGACCCAGCCTCTCCGGCGTAAGTACGGTACCAACAGCCAGGCCCACGCGCACCAGGCCTACGTCGAGTACCATAATCTCGTCACCGACGAAGGTTCCGACGAGCCGCTGAGAGAGTACGTCGATGTCGATCTTATCCGCCCATACCCTCCTACCACCCCGCCGGAGGAGCGTTTCCAGATAGGCGATGTGGTAGATGCTTATGTTAGGGACGGCTGGTGGACGGGTGTCGTCACCGGTGCTATTGTAAAAAAGAAGAAAGAGCTGGAGAGGTTTATTGTCAGTTTTCAGAATCCGCCTGACGAGATTGAATTCGGGGTATCCGATTTGAGGTTTCATCACGAATGGGCCAATCGGCAATGGGTCCGACCCGAACGACAGGTATATCAAGTATAAACCCTACCTCTCTCTCTCTCTCTCTCTCTCTCTCTCTCTCTCTTACTTTTCAATGCTTAATTTCTGTCTGCACTGGCTTCCTAAATTTTGGGTTTATGGGGTTTTCATTTCAAACCGGACTTACATTTGGTTCCAGTTTTGGGATACATTTGCTGATTTAATGGATCTGTTATTTCAAGGTCTTCCCTCCTAAAAGTGGTCCTCTTTATATAATGTATAAGTTAATTTTGAAAAAGAGGTTAATGTTTATAATGTTAAACTGATTAGGAAAGACTCAGTTAAAGTTTTCAGTCAGTCCTCTGTAATACTAACTTAATAGAAAGGAAAAAAATTAAGCTCTTCTACTTTTGACTTCATTAGTATCTTTGTGCAACTCATAAACGAGATACTAATGAAGTCATTTCATTAAGTTTACACATCTTAATTTATGAGTTGCACAAAGATACTAATGAAGTCACAGGTAGAAGAGCTTAATTTTTTTCCTTTCTATTGAATAACAACAATGTAATGGCGCACAATGGCTTGAGATCATCTATAAAGGATCCTCCTTCCCGCCATAATGTGATAATGGAAAAGATGAGAATTATGTGTTGCTTGTAAATTGTTGTTCCATATGAGACAATGTGATAATATGGCATGACATGCATTATCACTCCTATATAGCTATTCAACATAAATTGATTGACACCTTGATGTTGGTGTCCTTATCTTTGTCAGCAACCATTCTCATTTCCTTCCTGTTCTCATCCACCGTTTCAATTTTTTTTTTGTGACTTTTTGAGCCGCCCGTTGCCAAAACCTAATTCTTGATTATTTTGCTGACTTCTGCGTGAATCATCGACAACTGAAAGACACCCCCTTGTTGAATATCCAACCATCCAATGTGCCACAGTTAATGGGTTATTGGATTGGGAAGGAAAGTTGTAATTTCTCCCTCTATCCAAAAAAATATTCCACTTTATTGAACTGAAACAGTACAATAAAGTGGATGATTTTTGTGGGACGAAGGGAATGTAGTTATTTTTCTTTTCTTTAAAAAAAAGTTGGGGTACTTATTTTTCTCTCTTCCTTGCTGGATTTCCGAAAGAGAGTAACAGGACTATTATTCAGTAAGGGGAAAAAGGTAGAAGTGTCATTTGACAGGGAAGATCGTCGTGATTATTGGTTCCCAGCTACCATACTCGAAGATGCCGGGAATGGCTGTTACCTAGTGGAACATGAGATCCTCAAAAAGGGTACTGATGGTGTTACAGAACGCGTGAAGGCTACTGTTGATAGTTTGCATCTTCGGCCTTGCCCTCCGCATCTTAAGGATGCTGTTTTCCATTTGCTGCAGAAGGTGGATGCCAAATATGAATTTGCCTGGCGGACTGGTATGGTTACCAAAGAACTAGGTAACAACTGTTATCTTGTTTACTTCAAACAAGATAAGAAGGAGAAGGAATTCAACAGCACCCAGTTGAGGCTTCACATGGAATGGAAAAATGGGAATTGGTTTACTTCTCAGGTTTGAATATTCTTCTGCAATTTGAGATTTGGTTTGATTTGTGGTCTTGTCAAACGGTGATTAGTATAATTGTCCCCTGATATCCTCCATCCATCTAAGGATCAAATAGTCCTTTGGTTTTGTTTAAAGATGATTAGTACAAGCTCCTTGTTTTACTTTGGAGCTCTCCTTATCAACTATAAGTTAATTTTCCAGCCCTCATAGATCTTGAATAAATGTCTACAGGAGATTGTGTTCAGTTTTTAAATCACTGAATTTATTGCTATATGCTTCCATGCCTTCATTTTGTGGTCTGTTCTTATTTTGCACTTTAGACTGTCTTTCTCTTACGTTTGTTATATATAATGCTTAATCTGTACTGTTTAATGGCTTGCCCTCTCCTTTTATCTTTTCTCTCTCTACCTTTCTTCTGATCCAGGCCTTTCTGTGTTGCAGTCAAAGATTGTTTATTTAGATTAACATGTGCTGGCAGTTTGATTGGCAGTTGTACTTTTTTGGAGTATACATTTACCTTGGCCTTTTTTAAATTTTTTTTTTAATGCAATTTACATTGAGCCGCAATTCAACTGTTAGGGTTTTTATATGCTTTTTGCCTTTTGTCTGTTCCACTTTTTCAAATATTATGCACTGACTGTAATTAATGAGACATTGTTTCATTGTTGACGTCATTGGGGTTGGATTCTTTCGTTTTTTTTTAATCGGAGTATTTGTTTTTAAATTTTACTTGTCTTGTATCATAAAAAAAATTACAAATGGGGTAGACACCAGAACTAAGTTTTGATTGTGCGTTCATGATATTGTGTCCTTACAGTTTATTGTTTCTTCTGTTCTATTTTGTTTCCTTACTGCGTTATAAAGTATCTGTTTTTCTGATTCTCAGGATCATCTGGAGCATTCAGATCGCCGTAAACTCGCTGGTCCTATTTGCATCGATGTTGCTGGCCCAGAGATCACTGTCCCATTTAACAATTCCAACGAGAAAATGGCATTGTCACTTAACCTAAATGAGGTTGATTCATCACATTCCTATGAGGAATTCCCTAGAAGTTCCACTTTTCTTAAAGACAAGACACAGGAGGATTCATTTTCTGCTTTGGGTGGTAAGGGGATATCCAAAGGAGAAATTTCTATCGTAAATACAGCTAATGCTGAAACTATTGAATCAGTGGATAAGATGAACCTTATTGAGTGTGTCGGCCCATACCCTGAGACTGCTGGAAATTTGGATGGAGATCGTCCTGAAGGGCATACTTGGGGCAAGAGCTGTGTGAGTGCTTCCCATATCATAAACTCTTTATCTGGTTTAACTCTTGTTCTTTTACAATAGCAGTATTAAGTATGCCGATTGATTTATTTTGTTGCTTCTCATGTTTGAGTAACATGGATCCAAATGCTGGAATGTAAACCATGATTACTAGTTGCATCTTATCTGTGATGAATTGAAATACCTAAACCACCTTCATGAACAACCTGATGACTAGTGTTTTAGCTCTTTCCTTTCTGATTTGGGTCCTTTTTCCATTCTTAAATTATTCCTAGAACTGTTTTTTTTTTTGTTTCGCAACATTTACTTGTATTACCAAAATTCCTGACATTCTTTTGAATTCATGCAGAAGAGAAGACGGCAAAAGACTTCTCAAGATGATGCAGTAGGTTCAGAAGGAGGAAATGGGAGTTCGAAGAAATTGCACATTATTAGTCCTTTGAACCCAGTTAGAGGTATAACTTTTGATATTTCCTAACACACGATCAATATAGGCAGCCACATGCACTGTGAATTAAGTCATAGTTTTCGTCATTGTCATATTTTTTATTATTTTATTATTATAAAATGATTTGGTCCTTATTTCCTAATTTGTAAACAGGTATGGGGGGCAATGCACTGGGAGATGCTGCTGAAGTTGTTAAGGATGGTCGCATCGCAGTGTCAACAAATCTACCTGTTGTCCTAGGTTTGGAATGTGACAAGGGAAGCAATTCAACTGCAAGAAAAACTTATCATCCACATAGTGAGGAGTTTTTGAGGCATGTAGGCATTCGGGGTGGAGTTATTGATAACGAACCTCCCCGTATAAAGGTGAGAGTCTTGATGAATAAAATGGACCCACTTGAACAGGTAATTTGCATCAAGGTGTTCCTTTGTTAAAATTACTTGTGTCGAGTTTTTGAATCAAGTGCAAAACCAATTTTCAAAGCATTATGTGGTTGCAGTTTGATTTTTGTATGACTCTGTTCCTAGGAATCAAATTTAATGTCGAATCAAGGAACCAAATACATGATATGACTAAATTGGTGAAATATGACTGTCCCAAAGGGCTGATTAAGAAGTGTTTATTTGTCAATCAGGCCAAGATGATGAGATGATGGTTGGTACTGGTTGAGGGAAGAGCATGAAATGTTTCATTAAGCTGTGTGTAACTGGTCGCTTGGTCAAAGGAAGATAAATACCACTCTTAAATAACAAGTCTTTAAAAGGAAATTATCTTACATGGTATTGGCCGGTAGAACATGCCCACGAAGGATCAATGAGAGAGTTATTGAGATCCTGTCTATGTAATAATAGCTGAATTCTGATGTAGTTGTTCTAGTTCTCTGACTAAGTAATTAGTCTCATCTTCAGTTGAAATTGATAGTATTTTGAATTTGACTATATGGCATTCTTAATTCTAAGATTATTTTTAATATTTGGGTTGCTCTCACCTATGGCACCGACTTGCTCTTTTTTTTATGGTAGATGTTCATGGCAAAAGAGTGTTATTTGACATATCAGTCAGTTAAATTCTACTTTTGTTTACTTCAATTAGTGTTATTACGAGTATTTTCTTTTTAAAGTGGAGAAACATAACATATAGTGCATGTTAGTTTACACTTTCCTCTCTAGGAAACCTCATGGTTTTGCCTGATTTGCATATGAGTTGTTGTCCTGTTTCTGTTGTGTTTTGAGCTGACGGTATTGCTGTGTGTCTCCATCTAAATAGGATGGTGATCAGTTAGAGGCTATGAGAGGGAGGGGACGCCCTCTCCTAGGAGAAACAAAAGGTCCTGTGACTTCACCATCAGGTATAATTTGAAGTCTTCGTTCTGCAATTTCATTAGATCATGGAAACGGATAACCGAACTCTTGCTTCATGTTTGCAGGGGACTCTACTAAAGATGCCTCCATGGATGAGTTGCTGGTAAAAAGTTTTTTAACTAGCTGTAACAGTTCTCTTAGGGATGTGGAAATTAAGTCCGCAAGTATAGATTTTTCGAGTCAGCAATTTGTGATAAACGGTGGCGGTAAAAGCAAAAGTAACACTCCGGCCCTACCACCATTCAGAAATCTGGGTGAAAACAGTGTTGACGTTCCAATTATGGTGGAAGAAAAGCGTTCATCAAAGAGGGGTAAAAGACGGACAGTCAGCATAAATGCCGTCTCACATGCACCAGGTGATTATTTGCTTCATTCTGTGTAGTAGTTGCTGTCTAATTCAATCATGCTTTCAACCAATTGAAAAGTAGATGTTTGGAAGTGTGGGGTTTTTGGAACAATTTTATTATTTTAAGAACGAAAAGTTGTATGTCAAATATAAAATAATATTTCAAAATAGTGAGATAAGAAACAGTATATGTGCGTACTGTTGGGTGGGACACTAGCTCTGGTAATGCATATGGTATTTCCCTCTTCTAATGCACTAAAGTTCTTCCTTTCTCTTGTCTTGTCAGTTGGAAAATTAGATTCTCCCCATACAAGTGCTGGGAAATCAACTGAATCAAATAGCACGGCAGAAGAAATGGAAATAGTCAGCAGTGAGTTGCCTGCGAAGCCATTTGAGGATCAACCTCTTGCAAAGTGGATTGAAGAGATGCATCCCCCAAGAGATGATGATACCTCCAGTAAGCTAATGTGCACTTTATTTTGATCCCCTTCTTCTTAGTAGTTCGCTAAGTTTTTTATTTCTCTTCGTAGAAGTTCCACCCTCAAGAAATGTTGAGCAATCTGCTGCGGCAAGTAATGGCCTGCCTCAAATTGTAGAGGAAAGTGGCCTGCCACAAATTGTGGAGGATAGTGCCTGCCAACAAGCGACGGAGGAAAGTGGCCAGGTTCAGGCGATGGAGGAAAGTGGCCAGGCTCAAGAGATGGAGGAAAGTAGCCAGCCACAAACGATGGAGGAAAGCAGCCAGTCACGAATGATGGAGGAACGTAGCCAGCCACAGGCAAGGGAGGAAGTGGAGGAAAGTGGCTACTCACAGAGGATGGAGGAAGGTCGCCAGCTACAGGCAATGGAGGAAATGAAGGAAAGAAGCTCCCCACAATCGATGGAGGAAAGTTGCCAGCCAGAAATGGAGGAGGAAAGTAGCCAGCCACAAAGAATTGATGGAAGTTGCCAGCTACATGTGGTGGAAGAAAGTCTTGTTGTTGATAAAGGCACTAATGTTGGGGAAGAAGTTCAAGCTTTGCCTTTAGTCAACACTTGTTCTGATATTGGTGTGAGTGAAGTTCAACCTTTGCCTTCCCTTAAGAACACTTGCAATAGTGTTGGGAATGAAGTTCAAGTTTTGCCATTTGTAAAGAACAACTCATTGTGGTCAACGCTCGAATCCATGGAAGTCTTCAAGAAATTCCCACAAAAGCCACATTTTCAGCCTTTGGAAAAATATAAAGAGAGTATGCGGGAAGGGTTAGCGATAGGGTATATGGTTAACTTCAGTAGCATTGTGGAGAGAACCGCAAAGTTACAGTTTGATGATTCGAGGAGCACAATTGACGACATATTGGATACCCTCTCTGAATTAGAAGGACATGGGTTTAACATTCAGGCTTTGCAAGATCGCGTAGGGGAGTTGGTGAACATGCAAGGGAAAGAGAAAATGCTTCGGGAAGAGTTTGAGCAACTCAATGAAGAAATGGAGAAGGAAATTCTGGAGAGAGAGGAGATGAACAAGCAGATAATGGCGCTACAGGAAAAGCTCTCACAAATCACGTCAGCTAAGGAGTCAAAGGACTGCAAAATCGCTTCTCTGCAATCGAAAATGGAGGGCATAAAGGAAAACATGACAACAATGGAGTGTGATTTCGAACGCCCGCTAATGTAAAGTGTTTTTCTTTTTTTTTGGGGGGGGGGGGCAAGTTTTGGGTGATTTCAGTCTTGCCTAGATTGCTGATTGTGAATTAAAGTAGGTGATGATGTGCATGGTTGGGGGCGTAGTTTCAGCAGTAGGTTTCTAACTCTGTTAGTAGAGTGAACAGTAATGTATATTATTATTTATGGTTTGTGGTAATCCTAAACAGTTTGTAGAAATAGCGGATTACTACTAATGTTATTTTGACATATCCACCGGAAATATGGAAGGATGTTTTTGGTGACTGTGAAAAGAGTCAAGACTCTGTGGTTTATGATACTGAAAGAGCAAAAGGAGGATGATGATGTGGGAAGGAAGGGGTGTTTTTTTAGGGTGCATTTTTGAGTTTCGACCTTTTGGGGTTTCTAAAACTTAATTTATTGTTTTGTGTAGTATTTGCCAATGTTTTCCTTTTTCAGTAATTCAATTTCTCGCTACCCATTCATTATTTTGTTTGAAGATTAAAGATGCTAATATGTGATTAGGATAATGATTGCCCGACTTTGTTTTTTTCAAAAAATAAAAAAAATAAAAAAAATTGCCTGACTTTGTATAGAAATGGGCTCTTGTTACATGAAGCGGTAAATACTTTGTCATTACCGGATGATTATACATAGGGTCGAAGTTTTAATATGGTTAGACAAATCTATTTGATAGTATTAATTATATATACATACATATATATATATATATATATATATATATATATATATATCTACTATATTAAACAAAACCTCCCTTTCAAACACTTCATATGATTGCGCGTGGCGTAGAAAATACTAAATTACCTTTTGTCTAACCATAACTAAATTACTAAATCTCCTTTGCACTTTATGTGGCACATTTTTTTAATTTTTTCTTTATGTTTCATTCAACTAGAGTGGTTTTTAAATTGAATTGATCAATTAGGTTTTTGTTACAAAGTGTCAATTTTGTTTTAAGTGTATACCCTTCGGATGAAACTTATTACAAAGCTATTAAAATCTCTAAAACTAAGTATTGATTTGGCGCGACCAATGGAGAACGTCAATAAATCATCTTACTAATATTTAAATTTATTAGGATACTTTTGTATTCTAACATTTACTTCAACACATATATTCGATTAAGCTATTTATTTAATAAGTAACACTTATAAAACATTTAAAACATACATGGCGAAATACAATTTTTTTTTTTTAAATACAAATATTTGTATGATCACACTTATAAAACATTTTTAAATCCTTCAAACATTTCTAAAATATATCGCTCCAAATACAAAATTTTATTTTTTCAAATATAAACATTTAAGATCTACAGATAGATCGGTGAGGTCGCGCATTGCGCGACAGCACATCACTAGTATATATATATACTAGTGATGTCTGGTCGCGTAATGCGCGACTCTGGCCTAATCTATCTGTAGATCTTAGAAATATTTATATTTGAAAAAAAAAAGTATTTGGAGTGATATATTTTGGAAATATTTGAAGGATGTAGAAATGTTTTATAAGTGTGATCATAGAAATATTTGTATTTAACAAAAAAAAAAAAATTGTATTTCGCCATGTATATTTTAGAAATGTTTTATAAGTGTTACTTATTAAATATAAATAGACTTAATCGAATATATGTGTTGAAGTAAATATTAGACAAAATATAAAAGTATCCTAATAAGTTTAAATATTAGTAAGATGATTTATTGATGTTCTCCATTGGTCGTGCCAAATCAATACTTAGTTTTGGAGATTTTTAATAGCTTTGTAGTAAGTTTCATCCGAAGGGTATAAGTTTAAAACAAAATTGACATTTTGTAAGAAAGACCTAATTGATCAATTCAATTTAAACTCCATAATTAAGAAAAGAAAACCACTCTAATTGAATGAAACATAAAGAAAAAAAAAAAAAAAAAAACGTATCACGTAAAGTGCAAAGGGGGATTTAGTAATTTAGTTATGGTTAGATTAAAGGGCAATTTAGTACTTTGCTCATGTCACGTGGCAATCATAGAAGGTGTTTGAAAGGGGGGTTTTATTTCTAATATAATACTCCCTCCGTTCCAAAATAAGTGTCATCCTACACTTTGCACATAGTTTAAGGAACTCTTAAATTGGGTAATAAAATTACTTGAATATCCTCAACTAAACCCATTAAAAAAATGTCCACCAATAGTATTAATTCTTTTGAGGGTAATTTTGGAAAATTTGGACAAAAAGTACATTGAAATGTGAGAACGATACTTATTTTGAAATTTCTCTATTTTGCTAAAACGACACTTATTTTGGAACGAAGGGAGTAGGATATATAGTAGTATTAAAATAATCTTTTTCTTTTTTAAAGTCATTTCTGTTATAACCGCATTTTATTTGGGGTCTTGAACTGTTAATGCAAAACACATGACTGTGTGAGTGTGTGAAAAGAAAGGAAAGCAACCACCACCGGCACCGCCATCCGCCATGGCGGAGACGACGACGGAGGAAGAGAAAGCAAAAGTACTAAGAGCGAGAGCAAAAGCAGCGGAGGAAGAATGCTTCAAGAAAGGAGCTAAGGTGGAGGTGAATTTCAACGAGCCAGGGTTCAAGGGCTCATGGTACACCGGCACCATCCTCAACTCCGGCGGTATCATCAACACCAAGAGGCGGCCCAACAAGATCCACATTCAATTCGACACCCTCTCCTCCAGCTCCGACCATGCCCAATTCCGTCCCCTTAAGGAGTTCGTCGACCTCATCTTCGTCCGCCCTGCTCCGCCCAGAGAGGCCCGCCGCTCTTTCCAGCTCAGTGAAGAAGTCGACGCCTTCCATAAAGATGGCTGGTGGGAAGGCGTCGTCACCGCCGTCCATCCTCCTCCTTCGGTCGGCAGCATCATCGCCGGTACGAGCTACTCTGTTTTCTTTCGGAGCACCCGGGAGCAGATTCAGTTCCCGGAGTCGGATCTTCGGCTGCACCGCGAGTGGGTCTACGGCAAATGGGTTCCCCCTCTTGAATCTTCTTCTTCTTCTTCTTCTACCTCTGTCCCTCCTTCCTCCTCCGCACGACTGAACTTATAATAGTAGTAGTAATTACAATCATGAGAAACTCAGAAATGTTTGGGGCTGATCTTTTCACAAATTTCGCCTGTGTGTGTGTCTGTGTGTGCGTGCTGCTGTTTAATCTCGTATCTTTCTTTCTCCTCTCCTTTGGGTTCTAAGTAAGTTCTAATCGAAATAGAGAAAAATGTTTGATGAGCAAAAAATTGTAAAGATTTCCTGTTGATTTGGGAAGTTTCCACTTGTGTTTGCCCTGTTTTAATGAGTTTTTTGCCCCTTATTGTTTTTCTCTATGAGTTGGGGCCAATCAATTACTAAACTATAATGCCGGAATTGCAGATGAGGAGATGTGAAATTTAGATGTAATTTTAAAAAGAGAACAACAACAATCAATCGAACATAGCCTTAAGACTTAAGTGATTCATGGCTGCGATTGATTTCATAATTTTCAATCCCCGAAAGGGGGAAAATTCAGGCTGATTGAATTGAGACTTTACCTCCGGGAAGGGTCTGGTTCGAATTCAGATTATTTGGATACAAATATATGGATTTCGATTAATTTTGATTGTGTCTAAAAGATTTGACCGAAAAAAGTTAATCTCTCATTGATTTGATGCAAGTATTTATACAGAATTACAAGATGTAAATAGGAAACCCTAAATTAGAGTAACAAAAGAAAATTACAATATGGTACTTACATCTTATTTACCAGTATCTTCTTTACTTGCTCAAGTTGGAGCATATAAATTCACTATACCCAACTTGCTCAACAATGTATGAAACTGATCACGACCTAAAGGTTTAGTGAAAAAATCCGCCATTTGGTTTTGGGAAGAAATAAACTGAGGGATCAAAAGCTTGGACTGAAAATGCTGTCGAACAAAATGACAATTTTTATATGTTTCGTGCACTCATGAAATACTGGATTAGCAGTAACATGAATTGCTGCTTGATTGTCACAATAGAGGGGAACTGGATCAGTGAATAATACTTGCAATTCAGAGAATAATTGAACAAGCCACACCAATTCACTAGCTGTAGTAGCCATCGCTCTATACTCTGCTTCGGCAGTGGATCGAGAAACTACGGTCTGTTTCTTAGATCGCCAAGAAATCGGCGAATGTCCCAGAAACACCATAAAACCCGTAGTGGAGCGTCGAGTAGTCGGGCAACCCGCCCAATCTGCATCACAATATGCCCGTAGACACAGAGAATTATCAGATAGAAGAAAAATACCTTGACTAGGTGCATTCTTCAGATAATGCAACACTCGAATCGCAGCGTCATAATGAAGCCTACGTGGTTGTTGCATGAACTGGCTAAGAATATGGACAGCATAACTGATGTCAGGACGCGTGATAGTCAAATATAGAAGGCGACCAACACTCAATATTGTCCAGCATCGTCATGAAGTTCCCCAGAATCAGAATCGAGTAGATGTTGTGGTTCCATTGGAGTAGAACATGGTCGACAACCTGTAAGGCCACATTCTGCAAGGATATCTAGAGCCTATTTGCGCTGGCTAAGAGCAATGCCAGAAGAAGATCGCGCAACTTCAATGCCCAAGAAATACTTAAGGGGACCAAGATCTTTAATGTGAAACCGACCATGCAGATATCGTTTAAGTTTCACAATCTTGGCTGAATCATTCCCAGCTACAATGACGTCGTCGACATAAATGAGTACAACAATAAAACACGAATCACGACTGTACGTAAATAAGGATGAGTCCGAGTGTGATAATCGAAAACCAGCTCGCAAAAGTGAATGAGTAAACTTTTGGTACCAGTTACGAGAAGCTTGGCGCAAGCCATAGAGAGACTTCTGAAGACGACAAACACGTTGCTCCCTCTTTCTTGCAAATCCCTGAGGAATCTTCATGTACACTTCTTCATCGAGATCTCCATGTAAAAAGGCATTGGTCACATGGAGTTGATGCAAATCCCACTTACGTACGGATGCAACTGCAAGAAGACAACGAACTGTGACTAACTTCGCAACAGGTGCAAACGTCTCGTGGAAATCAATCCCTTCAATCTGCGTGTACCCCTTGGCCACTAATCGAGCCTTGTGTCGCTCAATGCTCCCATCTGGATTAAACTTGACCTTATATACCCATTTAGAATCAATGGCCTTCTTGCCAGGCGGCAAAGAAACAAGAGTCTATGTTTTGTTTGATTCCACAGCCGAAATCTCCTTCGCCATGGCATCTCTCCAATGTGCATGTTGAACTGCTTGCAAGAAAGAATTGGGCTCATCTCGGGAAGAGATGGCCGCTAACAAAGCAGTATAAGGTTTAGAAAATCGAGAATAACACAAGTCTGAGAGAGAGGATATACCGTCGAGTTAGCCGATGGAGTTGAGGAGGATGGCATTTGAGTAGTAGGAAGCAATGAGGGTGGTAATGTATAATCATAGCCTAATAGGTGTCGAGAAACTTGTCGAATCCGCCTTTCTGGAGGTGGAGGAATCACAGGTGATGGTGAAGGTAATAGAGAAGTCAAATTCGCAGATGGAGAACTTTCAGTTGATGGAGTATCTGATTCTGATAAGTCTACGGCTGGAAGATCAAGAGAGGTGGGTGTATCCTCGTTAAAACCAGGGGAATTATTCGATGTGTAATCCGGGAATGGATGTGGATATCCAGTTTTGTCATCTGGTGTTGTCGATTTTGCCATCATCGCAAAAGGGAAAAAATCCTCAAAGAATTGAACATCTCTGGATGTATAAATTACCTTACGATCCAGGTCATAAACTCTATAACCCTTCTGGCCGTAAAGGTAACCAACAAATACACAAGGATGACTCCTTGATGCAAAGTTATCTCGAGAATGAGACAAAACATGAGCATAACAGAGGCATCCAAAACTACGGAGATGGAGATAAGAAGGTTTGCATCCAAACAAAATCTCATAAGGTGTCCGATTGTTCAATACAGATAGAGGCATGCGATTAATCAGATAAGTAGCAGTCAGAACACATTCTCCCCAGAAACTAATTGGCAAGTTTGCTTGAAAGCGCAGGGCTTTAGCTACTTCTAAAATGTGTTGATGCTTTCGCTCTACTACACCGTTCTGTTGTGGAGTGTATGGACAACTGGTTTGCCTTTCAATACCTTTATCCCAGAAATGAGTTAACAAGGTAGCATTGACTAAATTCAGGGCCATTATTAGTTCGAAACACTTTGACCTTAGTTTTAAACTGTGTATGCACCCAATTGAAAAACATCAGCAAATATCGCTTAGTCTCCGATTTATGACGCATGAGAAACACCCAAGTTACCCTACTACAATCATCCACAATTGTAAGAAAATATTTTGCCCCGGACTTTGATGGTGTTTGATAAGGACCCCAAACATCACAATGCACTAAATCAAAAACATTCAACGATTTGTTCTGATGTAAAGGAAATGGCAATCGGTGTGTCTTGCTCTACAACATGCATCACAGAGAAAACCACTAGAAGAATCAAATTTAACAGAAATATTGGGCACCAAATTAAGACGGCTTATCGGCAAATGTCCTAAGCGCCTATGCCACAAAGATGCTGTATCGCTCTTCCGAACAACCAACGCTCGGTTCACTTGCTTCCCATCACCACCCCTTATTGGTTCCAAATAGTAGAGGCCATCGCGCATCCTACTCACTCCAATCAGCTTCCTCGAGGCTAAGTCCTGTATGAGACAAAAATCAGGTCCAAATGTGAAAAAATAATTCAAATCTCGCGTCAGTTTACTGACTGATAATAAATTAAAATGGAAATCCGACACTCCTAAAACATCATGAAGCGTTAGATTTTTATCCAATTGAATTGTCCCAATGGCCCGAACAGGCACTCGATCACCGTTTGGAATCTGGATATAGCTATTATCGCAAGGTATGAAATTAGTCATCAATTGAATTTCAGATGAAGCATGGTTTGTAGCCCCGGAATCGGCAACCCAAGCATCAGTCTTACCGGAAACTTGGCCTGAAGTATTAGCCCAAGAAGCTGACTTTTGACCAAGGAGTGTCAGCAGTTGCTGAACCTGCACTTGGGAGAGGGTTGCAGCCTGTGCACCTTGCTCACCAACAGCAGCAAATGCAGATGAATCCGCGGCGGTTTTGAGTGGCTTTGTGGCTGTTGATTTCTGTCGCAGCTGTCTCCCTCCAGCTGGGTATCCAACAAGTTCAAAGCAAGCGTCTCTGTTATGATTGCTCCTTTTACAGTGCGTGCAAAACCTGGTTCCACCACCTTTCTGTGCTCCATTATCGCGATGGCCAGAACTCAGGTTAGCCAGCAAGGTCGCCGCTTCAACGGCCGGAGATCGTGAATCAGCAACATTGCGTTGCTTTTCATCTGACGCCACCATCGAGTATGCCTTTCCCAATGTTGGCAAGGGTTCCATGCTAAGGATCTGCGATCTAATAGTCTTGTAATTATCATCTAAGCCCATTAGAAAATCAAATATCTTTTCTTCTTCTTGCATCGATTTCAGACGCTTGCCGGCATCGCAGGTACATCCGCCGCATGAACACGTCGAAGGAGGCCTCATGTTCTGCAATTCATTGAGAAGTCCTTTGAGTTTGCCATAGTAAATTGGCGTTTGCATCTGTTCCTGCTGAAGCAAGGCAACAGAACGCTTCAAATTGTACACCCTGGCAGCAATACCCTGAGTAAATCTCTCCTCCAAATCACGCCATATTTCAACTGCGGTCTAAGTGTGAGCAGCGGCTGTTTGCAGCTCCTTACAGATGGAGTTCGTCAGCCAAGATTTTATCAGCGCGTTGCACTGGATTCATTGCTGGTAGTCACCAGAATTGACATCGAGACGAGCTATACTGCCATCCACAAAACCGGTTGTGTTTTTGGATTGAAGGGCAGTGAGAAGGTTGTTTCTCCAAGTGAAGTAATTATCTCCGTTTTCAACAAGCGGAGTGGTGACAAAAAGGTGGCCAGGATGATCCACCGGATGAATATAGTACGGTGATTTCGTATCAACAGCCGAACCGACTTGATTTGAGTTTTGGCCTTGAGAAGAATCTGTTTTCAAAGTAGAGCTTGAAGTGACTGGGGTCTTATCTCCCATGGTTGTGATTTGTAGCAGCGGAATGACAAAGCAACGGGAAGGAGGGGCCGGAAATCTTTGATATCGGTGGCCGAAAGAAAGAAAAGAAAAGAACTAAGGTTTTGAATAAAACCTAGCTCTGGATATCATAAAAGATTTGACCGAAAAAAGTTAATCTCTCATTGATTTGATGCAAGTATTTATACAAAATTACAAGATGTAAACAAGAAACCCTAGATTAGAGTAAAAAAGGAAAATTACAATATGGTAATTACATTTTATTTACCAGTATCTTCTTTAGTGTCATTTGCGAATAAAACTTCGCTGTGGTCGACGCTTGAAAATTCATGGAAGTCTTCAAGGAAATTGCCACCAAAAAAGGTTAGCAATAGATGATATGGTGTAGACGCAAAGGCAAGGCGAAAAAGCTTGGGGAGGAAGAGTTTGATTTGAGCAACTCAACGGTGGAATGGAACGGAGGAGCGAAATCTTGTGAGTTAAGATTGATGAAGACATGGATGAGATCAAGAAGAAGGTAATGGCACTACAATAAACATTTATTATGTACTATTTCCTCTGTTCCACTTTAAAAAAATAAATAAATAAAAATTCATTTGTTAAATTAAAACAATACAACAACAAGTAAGGAGAGTATATTATTTGGGGTTGATCCTAAACATTAAAGTTTGTGTTAATAGCATATTGCTACTGGTGATTTAGTTTTCACTGGAAAAACTTGCAAAAGATTGTTTACCTTTGGGGAATTTTTTGGAGTCTGTTCAGACACTGGTTTATGTTGATGCAAGGAAGATGTGGACAAGGGATAAGGTGCATTTTGATTTTTGAGTAACAGTACCGAGACTCTCTTCTTTCACTCCCGCAGATTTATTAATTCTACTCCTGGAATTGCATGTTTCAGTCGGGCTTTCAGCACTCCCCAGAAATGACAGTTCAGGTTGGAATTCCATACGTACATTCTGTTTATAGAGTATTTCTTTTTTACTTGACCTAAGTGTGGACAAAGTGTAGAAGTTTTGGTCGCACCTGCTCAAATTTTTTGTAATTAGTAGAGATGTCCTAAACTTTTAATACACTCCCTACATTAATTTCCTAACTCATTAGTACCTTTTTCTCTTTATTTTGCACCCCCTACCTAGATCTCCTGGCTCCGCCCTGTTTTCTATTTGGTCTCCATTAATTCCCAATTTTCATTAATATAGGTTAGATATTGAGAGATAGTGGAACCTAGTCCAGAAAAACCGGAGCAGCCTCAAAGTTGATTTCTTTAATCTTCATTTGTGCTTAATTAATAATAACTGCCGTCCGCCGTCATCAAACGTAAGGAAGATGACAACTTTTCCATGTTATTTTCAATCACAGAGATCGTCCGCTGCTAAAGCTGTGAGATTGCTGCTGAAACAGATGAAATCCAGCAAGAATTTTTTCAGTACTTGAAAGAGCAGAAATTGCACTTTACTTGCAATACAGTAACCTTTCTTGAGTTCATCACATAGATTTACAAGCAGCGTAGGCAATATATTTGCGCAGCAATGAAGGGAACTGGTGCTTCCCAGGTTCAATTCTTTTCCATTTTCCAAAAAAAAAAAAAAAAATTTCAATTCTTTTCGAAACTGTCAAGAATTTATTCGCCGAATTTCAACGTGTTTCTTTTTCAGTAATCATACAACCCAAACGGTGTTTTTCGTTTATGCCCTGGTACAATACATCATGTTGCTATTGTTATCAACACTGTAAAAAAAAAAAACTATAACCTCACCACAGGAAGGGAATGTTCCCCCAGGCTTATTATGCATCCTTTTCTAGCATAAGCCTCGCAAGTTCTATGTTCAGAATGAAAAAACCCGCACTTATTGAAGCTTGATTCATCACTAAAGAATACTCCTACCTAACCTGCACGTTAACTGCTACCATTGCACATCGACCATGCTAACTGATGCCATCATCACACACTCACTTGCAACATCTTTCGGTTTATAAAAGCCAACTTACAATGACCAACCTGCTGTTCAGAGCTTGCCCAATTGACGGCAAGCTTCAGTGCTTTAGGAGGAATAGGTTTTATTGAGAAGCTCCAACAGAAGAACAGCAGCGGAATCCTTGGCTTTCTTGACACTTGGCATAGGCTCCCCAATACATTCATCTGTCCAGCCCCTGTCTGAGGTATTCACACTGACTGCAAAGGTGAACCTTTTTGCATGTGCAGGTCCCCCTTCATGGACACACCTGTACAATGGCATCGGCCAATTCCTTCGCAAACATATGTCATTCAAGGTTTGGCGAGTAAATGTTTGACTTCCATTCCTTTTACGCTTCCCTAGAATTCCATTTCCATGATGATGATCATCACCTGTTTCATTCTCCACCTTCTTACTATTCTCAGCTCCCTCTTTCTCTTCCCTCTCCTTGAGAGTCACCAGAGCATTTCGAGCAGCCAATTTTTGTGCCATTTTCTTCTGTGAATTTTGAGCTGCTCCAACCTGAATACCATCAACATATACCTCCACTGTTGCCACATTCCCGCTTCTGCTCGCCTTGTACTCAAGCCCTTCAGCTTGCTGCTGGCACCGCTCCTGCAGTTCCCTCACTGGATGCATTGGCAGGGTTTCTGGTGTGACCATGGGCTCCAGAAGGGGTCGAAAGACCTTCCATACAACTGCAGTATCACGTTTGCTATCAAGGAAGATTGCACCCGCAATTGATTCAATTATATCACCAAGTACTTTTGGAGCTTTGCAGTCACCTAAACCAAAGGAGTTAAACCCTGGCTTCAGCATCTCCTTTCGAGCCTCTTTTACAAAATCCTTGATCTGCTTCTCAAGCGCACTTGATCCATGTCGAAGGTGTATATGAAGGTTGTGTTTCACAGCAACACGTGCAAAATTCTCATTGTTCACGGCTGCAGCTCGCAAATCAGTTAAGCGCCCAGGGGGCAGATCTGTATATGTGAAGAACAGGTGCCGGGTGATGAGGTGGTCCAACACAGCATCGCCTACAAACTCCAGTCGTTGGTAACAAGACACTCCAGATGATGGACGTGAGGCATGAGTTATGGCCTCCACCAAAAGGCTCTTCTCGACAAATTTGAAGTTCAAAGAAGCTTCAAGCATATCAAAATTAATACTCCTCAGGATATTCTCAGGAACACTACTTGGTCGTATAGGATACTCATTCTCCTTGAGGTCAAAATCAACCTCTATCCCAATCCACTTCATCAAGTGGTTAGCGGCATTTTTCCCTTCTTCAACGTAGTACACACCAATTAGTGCTTCGACAACATCTGCTAATGTCTTGCTAGATAAGACGCGATATGAACTTGAATCACTCTCCTCCTCCAGCTCACCATCTTCAATCCCTTCATCATCATCATACCCCCCATCTCCTGTGGGCAGATTTTCACTGAACAACGATGTTTCCCCTTCCCTTACATCCTCGTCAAAAACAGGCAACACTCCTGGGGCAGCCCATCTGGATGGAGCAAACCTATCAGCCTGGATGTATGACTGAAGCCCCTTGCTTAAGGCAAATTGATACAGCACCATGTTGCTCACCATTTGCTGCCTCATACGAGTAAGCTGACCTTCATGTTTCTGGGGATACTTAAGAAATAGAAATCGACTTACAACCCATTTGAGATACGCATCTCCCAATAGTTCTGCTCGTTCATAGCAGAAAGTTTCCTGGCAGGAAGCAGCAGTCAAAGCTTCTAAGATCTTTGAGGAAGGAACAGGATAATCAATTATATGCTTGAGTTCCACAGCAAGTAGCATACTCTCCACCCTCCTCATAATCGAAGGCAACCTTTGGGCACCTCGAACTAGAAATCCGGGAAGGGGATGCACCAAGCACAGCTCAGGGGGGAGGAATACATAGTATGTCTTATCCAGGCTCTCATCAGTTTCATTTTCATGTCCTACAACAGCAGAATATACATGTCAAGATGATAAATCACAGAGAACATTAGAGTGGAAACAAATTTAGGCAAACCAACCTTCTGAATGTTCATATCGTGGAGAGAGAAGATTTTTGCAATATGAAACTCCACGTGCTCTTATTAGAGGTTGTTGTTTGAATTTCAATTCAACTCCATATCTGCAAGGTAGTTAAATATTCAGGAGGGCTAAATTCTGGATCATAAGGTAAGGGGAAAACTAAAAATAACTACAGAGGAAATAATAAGGATTGAAGATAATTAGAGATGCGTACTTTTGCTTATAGTAATCAGCATAAGAGCTGTACTCCAGAGGACCAAGGTAGCCTTCTTTCCTTGGAAATGAGTTTTCAGCAGTCATTTCAAATCGTACAGAATCAACAAAGAACCTCTTTCCAGAATGGGCTGCAGTGATAATCTTCCCCACTAAAGCATCAGCATTAACACAAGAATAATCAGCCAGTACTAATTTGTTCTCGTACGAATCCTCTTGAGGAGAAAAACTATCTATGGTATTCCCTCTAGGTACCAAGCCAGAGGCTTCCACAACATTGTACTGTGCAACTGCTCCGCGAATACCATAAGTAGGATGTGATTTCAAGCCAAAGGCCATGCCATGCCGCAACTTGCCAAATCCATATTCTCTCCGATCTCCACCTAGTGCTCGTTCATTTGTGCCAAGATATACATCTGGCCGAGCTCTCTGAAGAGGGTTCATCCACGCATCTGTCTTCGTTATGCTCTCAACTACACCCCAGTCGATATCTTTTATTGTATCCGAAGTAGTTCTGCTGCACGTCACCATTGGGACAAACAAATACGCCTTTGCAGGATCCCAAGGAGTAGTGGATGGTTCCACATCCACATCCAGTACTATACTCATCAGTCTTACATGGAAACTCTTAAGCAAAGCTAACTGCATGCAGGAAAACAAAGAAAACTGATAAAGCAATAAGACACAGATAACATTTCACAGTTAAAAAACCATTGTGCAAGGTCAACAAATGATGAACCTGAATTTCAGTTATTTCTAGTGGGCCTCGATAAACAAGCGATGCTTTCGCTATCATAGTTCGAGCAATAAATAGATCCATCGACATCGATAACACCTGATAGTAAAAGAAGCTCAGCCCAAAGGAAGATTGAATACAGCATGTTGAGATATGATTTAGAAACATAGTACCTCTGCATCCAGTTCATTGCCAAACAAAACTGCAAATTCTGAAACTTGTGTCAAAAAAGGGTCCTTTGAGTAACCAATGTTTATGCATTTGATCTCATACATATATACACGGAACAATTTACTGTGGTCACAATTTTCTCTCCCAGATAAAATCCATTCACCCTGCACAACAAAATTCAGAATGATATTAGAAAGCTTTACATGTCAAAATGAAAGGAATGTACCCAAAGGAAAAAGGAAACAAAACTGAACAACTACTAGATTGCACTAGGATGAAAAAGATGACAGCACAACTACAATTCTGCTGATTGCAATGATGAGAGAAGGATAAAAACAAACCTGGAGAACTTTAGCAACACCTTCTGGATAGAATTCCCTATGCCTAGCTGTTCCGGGAAGTGGATCTCCTTCATCCTTTTCATCAGATTTTTCAATATTTTCCCCACTCCCCTTGTCAGGCAAGAGCATATCAGTAAATGCTCCCATTTCATGAAGCTTCTTGCACGCAGATAAACAGACAGCCTACAAGGTACATGATCGACTCAATGAATATTGTCACATGAATGAGGAATGTTCCATAACAAAAGCATGACATGCCTGTTGTGCAAGACGCATTGAACTGCACATAGGGCCCTCAAGTTCCTCAAATGGTGCATTGCAGGGGAGTTGAAGCTTGCATGAATACTCAGAAGGAGCTCCCGCCTTCTCATGCCGCTGCATAATAAACTCAGGTCGAAGTATCGAATATCTACAGGACAGATGCAAATGATGGACGGGTAATTGTAAGAGACCAGTAAGAGAAAACTAATTCATCAAGTAGAATTATACTTAAAAAATGTAAGAGAACTAATAACAATACTACTATACACCCAAAATACACAACCAACAAACCTGTCGCTAGGTAACTGTGAACAGTAGAAGTGGATGAGCCCAACAGCAGAATTTAAACTCACAACAGCACCAGTTGAGTCGACTTTGTACATTGCATTTTGCATTAGCTCCCCCGGCTTACTTGTAACCATTAGATGACTAATATCAGTCCTCTCAATTGCTTCTTTCCGCAAAGTCTCTTCACTGTTTCGAGCATTCCTTAAAAACGCATCATGTGACAAATTTCCTCTGAAAAAGAAAAATATAAAGATATGTTAAAAATTCCAAACTTGATGCTTTTCTCATTCAACGAACTTCAAAAAAAAAAAACAAAAAGAAAAACTGGATAAAATGTTAAAATACCTCTCTACCATCAAAATGTAACCAGATCCAGGCTTCCTAGCACGGCCCCTGGATTGAATATAAGCTAAAACAGTTTTCGCAAGGTCAAATCGGATGACAACATTGCATTGACGGATATCAAGTCCTTCCTCAGCAACACTAGTTGCAACCAACAAGGTAACCTACAAACCCAGAAGCAATCAAACAAAAATGGCAAAAACAAGCTCAACGTTTAGCAAGTGATGTAAACTGATAAGGCAGTTGGTCGTACACGGCCGTCCCGGAATTTTGCTATCGTGTCCTGCATTTGGGATGCCCGCATTTCTTGACTATTGTTGTGTCCGATTAAACTTGCTGATCTGATGAAGCTCAGGGAAGGAAGCTCTGCAAAAACCTGCATAGTTGACCAAATATTGCGGTAATAATACAGCTCTACTATGTTGGAACAAAAATGGAAGACGAGTATCTTAAAGATAGTGACCTTCGGAAGAACCAAAGCAGCCACAACACGTTCAACAAATACTATTGCCCGGAAGTCATCTGTGTGCTGATATTTGAGAAGTATCTTAACCAAAGACTGCACCTTTGGGGTCACCTTCCCATCAGCAACAGCAGCTCCAATAATCACATCAACGTGCTCTCCACCAGAAACAACTACCAAAAAAACATCATATTACCTCAAAAGTACATTAACCACTAGAACAAAACCAAACGTCGACATGAACAGTCCCATTTTGCCCTTCAAGAACACAGTAACAAAGGAATACATACAGAGAAGCTCAACTAGATATTCAAGTTTGAAGTTCAACTAAGAACTCACCATGACTATCAGTAAGCTCTCCCTCCTCTATCTCATCAGACAAATAACCTGAGTCCATATCACCAACAGTTGAGTCAGTTCCACTGACAGCTCCCTCTGACAATTGGCATTGCAAGAGGGAAACAACCTTTTTCAGGTATGATTCTTGAAACTTGACATCTAGCTGGTAGTTTGCCCTTTCATCATTCCGTAAAGCTGCTAAAAACGATTGTGCAACCTGAAGAAGGTACAATTAGTCAGTAGAAATCAAAGTCTACAGCACACCATTGGTAGTTGGGAAAATTACAGTTCACATGTAAATACTATGGTAAAAAGCAAAAAATCACCTTATAGGCACACCACTGTCCTAGTTCTCCAAGTGCATAATTGATAGCCCTCAACTTTTGAATTAAGTTTGCAGCCCCATCACTTTCTGTTCTTTCAGATACACCATATACTTGGCGCAGCTCATCCTTGGCTCCAGCATCTCTGGCTCCCATGAATTGCCATTTACTCTTTCGGGAACTTGACTGGGCTGCTTCTTCGACAGTTTGTTCCATTTGCTTTATTTGTTCATGAAGAGACCACAAAGTAGCGGCCTTGTCATACTCCACCACTATTTCCGAAGGCATTGGGACATGCTTCTCCAGCTCTGCACGGTCCTTCACAGTGAAAACCACTGAATCTAGTTTAGTTTCTAGATTTCGGATCTTCATAGCACAATCCAGTTGGCTAGAAACGCCTGCATAACCATAAGTCCATAACCACAATATCAGGAAAGAATGCAATACAATAACAGTGAAAAACTGAAGATCTAAAATTTAAGAGTCCAATTTTTGCATTTCACACATAACAAGGACTCCTTAAAGATAGTATTGGCCTATCATTAAATATTAAATCCGTGAAGAGTCCAACAATGCAAAGGTACTTGATTTGTAGGCTGAACCATATTTAACCATTAAAACATTTCAGAAACTGATAAAACATTTCAGAAACTGCTCAAATTTTCCATGTATAAAATTTGAACTGGCCCTAAACTAAAAAATTTAAAAAGGCGTAATCTTTTCAGCTCATCAATTTCATTATCAAGTTTAGAAATATACACAAATACTTTTCTATCTTTAGCTTTATCCATTTCTTTACTCAAACGGATGAGTTATCTTTAAGGGTTTCGTGTTAACTGAATAATCCTATAACCAAAATCACTCAGAACAAAAGCAAGAGGAAGTTACCAAATGTTCAACGACAGGTTCTTTTCTAACTCTACTAGGAACAATGAAAATGGAAAGTTCTAGAAATGGAAGATCAAAAGTGCAGTGGAATTCTTATCTGCCCCAAAAAAATAAAATAGAATTGTTCATTGGATATAACGTCGAGGAAATGAAAATCCTTTGACAGTTCAGAGGCATTTGTTTCCTCTTGTCATCCCAGAAAAGTAGGTCAGTAAAGAGGTCAATTAGCTTCAATTGATTGACTTGTACTACATTGTGTGGACAAACAGACATTTGTTCCCTTGAGGAAGCCTTAAACATGTCTAAATCTGATATGCATAGACACATCGGGCCCATAACACTAAGGTCAACTTAACTGATGGGAACCAAAGAGCGGTTGGGTTTCAGCCCATCCATGCATTGATCTCAGTAGCCCTGACGGGAAAGCACATTTTTTTAATTAGTACAATTTGTTCATATAGACTAACAGTGATTTTATATATGTACATTTCTGCTTCCCTTAACAGGTTTGACATATATTTATTATGTCACCTAGTAGACTGGATTTTGAATGTTTTGGATCTATGACTTTTTATAGAAATAGATTCACTCTATCACCAAGAGGCCCCCAGCATCTATTGACGAACTTGTTAAAATAAACCAAATCACACGCATTAAATGGATTGTGTTCTAACTATAAATATTTATCAACTCAGGGTGTAAACCACTGTAAACTTTAATTTTAATACAGTTGACCGGACTCTTAATTTGGGACAAAAAACAAATGTTAATATCGGACCATTAAATAGGATAGACTTAAACAGCAGTAGAGATACCTTTCAAGTTAACAGGAGAAGCAGTCATTCCAAAAACACATGGCCTCTTCTCTTTTGGTGTTGTGTGGTAAAACTCAGACATCACTAAAGAATACGGGTGCTTCTTTACAGCATGATGACATTCATCAAGAATAAGCAGGTCAATTGAGTCCATTTTTATAATACTATGCCTCAAAATATTCAGAAGAATTTGAGCTGTCATGACCAAAACCTTCAGCAGGAAGACAAAGAAAGAGAACCAGAGTTAGCATTTTTCATCTGAGAAGACCAAAAAGAAAATCAATTTGATATCACCAAGTCATTAAAGCAAATATTACTAATGGACACCCACCTGTTTAGTTGCAAACTCGCGTTGCCACCTCCTTGCATCCCAAAAGTCTTGCCCCATTTCGCCACAGTAGTGACCGACTTCATAACCCGTTTGATCACGAATAACTTCTGCTTGCTGCACATTGTACAAAGACCAAGTCAAAAAAATGACAGGAACAGAGAGATTATACATGCATTTAGAAAAATAACAACCTGATAAACAAGTGGAACTTTAGGAACAAGAAAAACTGCCAGAAGTTTCTTGTCCTTCCTCTGCATTTCACAGGACATACTCTTTATAAGGAGGACAGCAATAAGAGTTTTTCCAGCACCAGTTTCAAGAAATGCTATCGTATTTTTCTGCTTCGCCTGTTCGAGAACATCCAACTGGTACTGTCGTGCCTGCTCCTTGGGGAGTTTGCATTTGCCGTTGGGCTCTTCAGGCTTATTCTCTGCCATCCCACTTGCCCGGCGAATCTTCTCCATTGGCATCCTGGCTCGTTCTGCTTCCCATGAACCTAAGCGGAAGACCATCTCATTCTTTTCTTTGTCCCTCTCCCAATACCCCCGACCATCTCTCCTCTCCATGTCTTTCCGCTGTTCCCTTCTCCTAGGATGATCTCTACTGCGGCAGTCTGTATCATTCCAGTCTCTAGGTCTCTTCCGAGCAAGCCCTCTCCTCTCGTCCTTGTGATGGCTTAGGCTAACCCTCTTGCCCTCATGACAATCACGGTTCCCCTCGCTCCAAGAAGATTTTCTTCTCTTATTACCATTTGATTCATCCTTTAGGCTCAAGCCCTTAGTATGCTTATCATCGGATGTGTTCGCTACAGCAGCAGCTGAGCATCTCTGATGCCCGTTATCATCTCCATGACCTGGGGCTGCCAGTTCAGCAGCTGGATGGACAATGGTAGGAGATGGATGTGGAGGCAAGCCATCGCCATTCTTTATGCTATCGAGAATTTGATCAATTCCACCAAAAAAGCAAGGATCAAGGTTGTCATCTTCTTCCGAGTGAGTAACTATGGCAGGAAGTGACTGGGTGGCGGCGGTATTCGACGAAGAAGTGCCGAGATCATCCACAAATTCGTGAATGAAATCATCACAAGATATGTCTTCACAAGGATCTAACCAGTATGAGGGCCTTACATTTTCAGAATTTGTAACCTTAAACTCCTCTTCATCCATAGTATCCTTAAGTTTTTTCTTGCCTAAGTATTCTCCCTAAACTGTTTTTTGTTTTTCAACCAAAAAAAAAAAAAATGCTTACACTACGAACTACAAATAATTATTATATCTCATTGTAACTCTATAATACAGCCTAACACAGCTAGTCAATGTATCAACAACAACAACGGTGTTGGATCATATAAATAGTTTTGGGAATTAAAAATTCAATCTTTTTTATGCTAAAGTTATTGCAAATGCTGAATAAATCACAAAATCAATCAATTTGTTGGATCTTTAACTAAAATTCACAAGAAGGGGAATCAAACCAAAGTGAGATTGAGCGGCGGCGGCGGCAGGCGGGGGAGGTGGAAGAAGTAGAAACTAGAAAGTGAAATCGGATAGATTGCAGAATAGCGTCGGATAGACCGTACGAAGCTCGAAAAGCAGCCCACCAAAAAAAACCCAAGTTGTTGATGCGAACAAGAGGCAAAAAAAGCAAAGCCACTTGAGCTTTTGGTGTTGAGATTCCAATGGGGGGGAAGAAGAAGAAGATTCTGTATGCCTTTCACACGGTCTATCTTACGCTGACTCTGCCCTCTCTATCTCTCTCTTTCAGTTTCCAGAAACCCCAAACTCAAAAACTCTTTTCTTCCCAATGTCTTTGTCTGAATCCCACTTTTTATTGACCACCTGAGAAGAGATGTCTGAAATTCCGCTTATTTACATTCTACTGCCCGAACGCGACCTTAAGAAATTGCTCTTCCTTAAGTACCATTGACAAAATACTTTTGAGTGGATAGTTGTTACATTATTAATTTCCCTCAAGTTGGGAATTTGGATTGATCTTTTTTAATTTTCTTTATTATTATTATTATTATTATTATTGTTGTTATTATTTTGGATTATAAGGATTAGTCACTTTCGGGAATAAAAGGTCCATATATTGTTACAACTTTTTATTTTATAGAGAGAAGATGTTGGAAGGAGATATCGTTTAACCTAAATAAAGATCTCTTTATTTGAATAGTTAAAAGTTGGAACGTCGAAATATATGTTGTACGATATTAACGGTGAGAATCGAGCTCGTACTATTAAGTTTCCATTTAGAGAGAATTTCATTTTATTTTCTGAGTTTTGACGTGATCAATCATAAACTTTCTGAGTTTTGATGATACTACTATATATTCTCTGTCTCATGAGCAGGGATTAAATATTGAAATGGCAAAAGTGAACATGATTTATATGTACTTGATTTCTTTTTTTTTTCTTTTTCAGATTTGTTTTTCTTCTTTTTTTGATCACTAAAAATAAAAATTACTTAATCTATCATTTTTAAATTTAATTATAACAAGTTCAATGAAAGTTAATCTATGATTAATAATATAAGCTTATTATGCTTCAGAAAGAAAAGAAGCTAATTACTGAAAATTATTTTTATTTAAAAATCCATGATATTATTAATGCCAAATTTATTATTTAAATGTATTAATACAAAAGAATTAATATGGAATATTTTTTAATTTAATTTATGATAGATATATTTTAAAAATAGTTAAATTGTATAATCTAAACAAAATCGATTAAAGGGTATTTTTACTGTTTACTAAAAATTGATGATATTGTTTGTACGTTAAGAGGGTATTGGTAGGTTAACTATGAGTCAAGGGGGTATATGGTAATATTACTAAAACTTGGAGGATTTATGTTAGATTCAGCCAAATTCGGGGTTAAAATGTAGTTTGACTTCCATTTACTTCTGAAAAAAAACTAATGATCACCGCAATCATCACATGAAAAATATATGACGGGCATAAAATGTGTTCAGTAGAAAAATGAAGGGCTTTTACTTGCTAATTACGAACAAATTTTTAACGAGTTTAACTATTATAAATAGGATAAAATTAAAAATTAGGAAAATTTTTTTTACTGGATTTTAACTATTATATTTTTTTTTTTATGAAAAACGAATTGAAAAGTTGAAAAAGTTTTAGGTAGTAAAATATTCGCTGAATATTATGAAATATTCAGTAAATATTGAGATAAAAAAAATAACTTGAAAAAGTAAGCGTGTAAAATATTATCGCCACAAGGCACAAACTACCAAAACTAAATCACAATTTAAATTCATATGTCGATTCTATTTTATAAATAATTTTATATGGTTGTCATATTTGGTTAATTAATGTTAAAGGTAACAAAGTTAATAATTAATGTTTTATTACATATTTTGATTGAACTTCTAAGTACGCGCCATGTATGTAAAAATTATTTTGTAGTAATATATAGGAAGCGACTATAGTCCAGTCGATTGAATGATTCAGTTAATATTGATAGCCGTTAAGATAAATAACAATCGTTAGATTAAAATAAGTTGTTTAAAAATTAAAATACACTCCATCACACCTGATAATTGCGTTACTATTGGTAAATTATCACTCTGATTGAATTACTTAAGGGCGAAAAAAATTGTTTCTTAAACGTGTAATTTTCACATCGCCTTCAGCCATCTTCGAGCTAACATGTTCTGAAGTATTGAGGTATGAACTAGAGTTTAGAAATAATTGTTCGCTGAATTTTACATTCCACTGTTTGTAATTTCTTTTATTGTTCATGATTCAATCGGGAAAAAAAAAATATGAGGAGCTCTAGAGGATTAATATTTGAGATTTGAGAGTAGTAATTCATATATTTCTGCCAGAAAATTGCCGGCCAAGGATGGAAAGCGACAAGAAAATGGCCGTGGACTGGAAGAAATCAAGGCTTGTTTGCAAAGAAGAAAAGACTCCATCGCCCACATCTACAGAGAATCAAAGGCGGTAGGGGATAGCTTGGCGTAACTTGCTTCATCGACTCATACCGCCCAATTTTTGCTTCACAAGACTTACCAACTGCAATTATAGGCCTTATTAGATTAGACCAAAACTCCGTACCTTACTTGCGGGTAAGTTAAGGTCCCTTAGTAATCTTACATGTCTCTGTTCCTTTTCACAATCAAGGATGGCTAGAATAGAATAGGCTACCTCGCGTATTGTCGTCCTTACTTTTCATCGCTTCGATGGCGCTCTATACCAAAATCAGCAAACTATTGATTATCCAAGCTTCAAGCTAGTTATATATGGTGGAACCGGTAAAACTAATTTTGTGAAGAGATGAAGGATCACCGATGAATTTGAGAAGAAATACAAACTTAACTATTGGAGTTCGAATTACTAGAAGCCGAAGTGTTTTAATATGATTTACATCAATTGGCATCATTAATTTGCATATTTCGATCCCCTGTCTGAGATGCCTGCTCGTGCTCCGCGTGAGGTGCACTGTCCAAGCTGTGCGGCGCAAAAGCATAAAGCAAGTTTGCCATAGCTGCCATTCAACCCCTTCCTGATGACAATAACGATATATTTGATTAAACTTTTGAAGAGCTATGTTTTATTTTTTTTCACCCTGCATATATATATACCTATGCTTTACTTTTATAGGATTTATTTTGCGGCTATATATGGTCTTTAAAAACTTGGCCTTTGTAGTAAAAGGGACGTACGTTGAAGGATTTCAGTAGAAGTTTATGAGTCTAAAAAAATCAGCGATGAGTGGTGATAATGCTTGCTATTTCTATTGTTTGCATTGAGATGACAGCCATATCATTTGTATTGCTATTTCTATCATTAACTTTTCAGCTGCTTGGATGAAGACAAGTTTTAGAAGGACGAAGAAAGGTGGATGGTAATGAGAACACAACAGATTTAAGACTATGGTATGGTAATAGCTGACTTGTCAGAAGTTGGAACGTAAAAAATGTAAAAATAAATGAAGAAACTACCGCTATACTGGATTTTTTTTTTTTTTTAAAAAAAACTATTTAGATTAGTTTCAATTAGTCAAATACTTATATTTATTAAGGTTAAATTTAGTAGGTAAACAATAAGTTTCGTTATCATGTTGCATACGCCACCATTACATATGGTATGTCTCATCTTTATTGGATAAATTTTAATTAGATGGTCCAGTCAAAAACTTATGACTGGACCATAAAATTTTCCTAATATATATCTAATATTACTTTAATATTGAAATAGTTATATAGAAATTAAGAGTAATTCCATATAACAATATGGAAATATCCATTTCACTTACAAACAAAAACTATTAATTTAATATTGAAACAATTAAAAAGAAAGTGTAATTCTTTTTCTTTTTTTTTTTACACAAGAAAGTGTAATTCCACATGACAACATGAACATGCATATTGTTATTGTGTACTATGATTTGAAACGTCACCTAAATGAAAAAATTCTTCTCCTCTGGATAGCTAGAACGTTAAAATACAAGTTGCGCAATGTTAGCGTGAGCATTGATCTCGTGCCAATACCTCTAAATGAAGAAACTAATTTCTAAAACCTTTGTTGGTACCCAACTTAGTGTTAAAAATAGAGAGAATTGTTCACTTCTTCTATGTAAATATTATGGACAAAAGTTCAAGAAAAGTCGAACAAGGGGGAGGGGCGGTGATCCTTCATCTCTTCACAAAATTAAGTTTTACCGGTTCCACCATCACCGACGATATATAACTAAATAAGAAAAAAAAATTGTCATAAAATTTGTTAAATTGGGTTAATTGTTTAAACTCTGATTTGGTTTGGAGGGATTTCAGGGGTTGTGCACTGTGGATCCGATTCACTCCCTCAACAAAACTATCTAGTAAAGTTGACAATTCATTTTGAAACCATATATAGATTTCCAAGTTAAAATTGATCAAATGATATAATTATAACATACCTAGCTAGAAGTTTTAACCAACTACTTTCTTTCTCTTCTTATTTGTAAAGTTCATATAACATATTACTCCCTCTTTCATAAACAAACACTAAAATGTCTTCTATCAGTGTTACTTATTTATTAAAATATTATTTTGAGAAAAAAGTCTCTCTTAGTTCGAACTTCACAGATCAAATGTGGTCTTTCAATGTTCTCGCACAAAATAATTTCATAACACTTCACACAGTTTTATACGTGGATTATTATATCTAATCTGCTCATATTTTGATGTTCAAAATTCAGTTTTTCTCAAATTGGAAAAAAAAAAAAAACCCCCCGAGCTGTGCGAGGATTTCTCATCAGAATATACAAATAAAGAAAAACGTAAAAAGCGCTCTTTTATGTAGGAGGCCAAGTGTGATATATGAGATTCCACGAAATGTAAACATTGAATTGAGCAATGGAAAAATAAAAACACCAAATATATTAACTGTTGCCAACATTGGCAAGCTTTTGTAAACACACGCGCACACACACACACACACACAAAACCACACCCTCAAAGAAACAAAACCTATGAGTTACGACCCAAGGATATCTCATTATTTTTCAAGAATCAACTTGTGACCAATCTTGAAGGAAGCATAAGCGTCAATGCAAGCATACTCAATCTGCGGTTCGGTCAGAAACCTTTCTTGCCAATTGCTCATCGAAATATGCTTAGGCTTAGGCATATACAGCCCAACAACTTCCATGGCAAGATCCTTCAGCCCCGGACGGCGAAACCTCCCCGGCCACTGGATCTTCGCCAGATCCCTAATGTCAGCACTCTTGGCACAATGCAAGTCATACTCATTTCTGAGCTTAGCAATGTCGCTATCAACCTCGATTCCAACATAAGTAAAGTTAGAATTCGCGAGAAAATACTTGAGGGATTGCGGGATGAAGTCCATGTAGAAAAGTTGAAGGATCAAACACTTGTTGTCGATGCAAAGCTGCAAAGTAGCGGATTTATTGCTCATGTAACGAACCCGATTAGGCTTCCACTCGATGTCCAACCCGACAACCATAGGGTTGTTTCCATAAATGGAAAGTACTTCCCTAACCCATTCATCGGTCACGGCAGCTTTGGTTGTGAGAGTAGTCTCTATGGTTTTCCGATCATACGTGACGGAGTATTTTGAAGTGGAGGGATTGTAGGTTATGGCCATTTTTTTGATTGATTAAAATTGCTAAGTGATGAAAATCTTTGTGAAGTGGTGGGTTGTTATTTATAGGGTCACAAACACTTTTTTTTTTTTTTTTTTTGGTTTTGTTACAATGAAAGAGGCACACAGCGGTCACAAACACATTTTGGACTAACCTAGGCAGGCTAATGAAGGGACTCAAATTAATTACTCCCTCCATTCACAAATAGATGTCGTTGGAGGAAAACTCAAATATTCCAAAATAGATGTCGTTCTCAGTAATCAAGGCATATTTTGTCAATTTTTTTCAATATCACCCTTACATTGGAAATTGTTGTGATGTTTAATGTAGAATTGTATTAGAAGTGAATTTTATTGGGACTACAATTAAATTAAGAATAAATGAGGGTATTATAGTATTTTAACAAGATAATTATTGTCTTCTTAAACTTTGTGAAATTTCTCCAGCGACATCTATTTGTGAAGACATCTATTTGTGAATGGAGGGAGTAACTCAAAAGATGGAGCTAGTTAATGCTTTACCACGTTCAAAGAATTGTGTTTGTTTAATCTTCCACAACCTTTTGACTGCCTAATTAATGAGGATATAGGAGTAGTTTCCAACGGTCACATGCATTGGGATCCTGTTTTATCTGATTTGGGGAATGCTTATAGCTTGTTGGGATACACTCCAACTCCAACTCCAAGAGCTATAATGACTTTCGTTTCTTCAATTCCCTCAGCTATTATCTCTATTTTTTCTTCTTTATCAGTCGCATTAATTATAAGATGAACTTAAAACTTGTTTTTTTATAAGTTAGTAATGCACTTCATTTCTAATGCAGCATTAAATATAATTTTTTTAATTTTACCTTTATCAGTAATTTCTCTCAACTTTTAATAACAATATAGTAATGACAATTATCTATTTTTTACTCCAGTTTTTAATTTTTATAGAGTTCTAATATTTTTAATTAGGAGCAAGAAAATTAATATACTTAAAAGTTAAATTCTTAATTATTATTCTCTTAACCCGTACATATTCTAATGCGACAGATTTAAAAAAAAAAAAAAGAAAAAGAAGAAGAAAGTATATAGTACGATCCAATAGCAATACGACAGTGTTGCTAATAAGTTGTGTATCTAACGTTCTTGCCACTGAAACGCTTGTAATTCTCAATCTTTATCGTTCTCTTTTTCAAATGCGGTTAATAGAAACATGGTAAAATAAGATTTTGTATTTTCTCCTTTCTTCTTGGAATGAACTGAAAAAGTAACATAAGTTTCCCCTCTGAACTACATAAGGGGGTCTACATATATATATTATTGTTTGTCAATTGCAAGTTTTGATCATTAGTGCATCCTATAATTTTTTCAAAGTTGAATGGTTAAATGGATGCCAATTTGCTCGTTGCGTGTATAATTAAACCATTCAAGTAAATTACGAACATTGAAACAGTTTCGAATCAATAGGATAATACCAATGGATATTCATTTTAATACGGTTTTGTAACTTTAATTTTGTTCCCTTATTCGTTATAGTGTTGTATAAATTAAAAAGTAGTGCATGCACTCACGATGAAATGAAAGGGGAAATCACTGTAGTATTTGTTCATACAGATCCCATCAAACTAAACAAAGAAAATTGAGTATGGGTGCAATTGGTTGGGTGGTTCAGTTAAATATTAGCAACTCCAAGATAAACAAAAATAACAATAACCGTTATTATTATTAAAAGACGTTCCATCTTTTTAGTCCTTAAAGTATTTTCATATTCGATTTTCGTCTATAATATTTTTTACCTAAAAAATTAATCTTAATAGTTTTTTTTATAAAAAAAAAATTGGTCTTATTCGCCGAATCCAATCACTATTTCAGTGATATCTGAATTTTTTTATTATTTTCAAGAAAGGAAAAATACATATTTTCTCCAATATCGATAAAGTTATAAAATATGGAAAAAAATATGTAATTTTTCTTTCTGAAAAATAATAAAAAATTAACATATTGCCGGAATAGTGGCCGGATCTTGCAAATAAGACTAAATTTTAAACAAAAAAAAAACCTATCAGGACTAATTTGTTCAGGAGAAAAACATTAGGAATAAAAATTAAACAGAAAAGTACTATAGGGACTAAAAAGATCGGACGCCTATTATTAAAAGAAGATGGAACTGATTACATGAAATAATTGTCCCAAAACTTGTTCAACCTGACAATAAACGCATCGATATCTTCTCCATTAATTTGATTGAGGAACTCTAGCGAATTGGAAGTCTGATCGTTAACTTTAAATTGTACAATTTTATTTCTTTATGGATAGTTTTGTTCCAATCAATGTTCAGAATAAAATTTAAACAAATAAAAAATTCATCCAATCTATTTCTTCATGGTTAGTTTTGTTCCAATCAGAATATGTTCATTATAAAAATTAAACAATAATTCATAACTTGGCTCCCCAATCAAACGCCGATAAAAAGTGAATGCCATCCATGGCGTTTGAAGTTCAAATCCACTGCATAAGGACATTCAACGTAAAGAGATCACTGAAGTGAATGAATTTACTTCAATTAAAACACAGTGGTCACTAGTTTTGTAAAATTAAGTGAATTGTTTTAATTAACCCTTGATTTGGTTTGGGGCTTTCAGGGGTTGCGCCCCTGTGGATCCCATTCACTCCCTCAACGTTAACTAATTAAGTACAAAATCATCTTCCCTCTTTTTTTAAGAAAGAAATAACTAAGTACAAAACCATATATATATATATATATATATATATATTTTGAAACCCTAGATTATTTCAAGAAGTAGTTATATGTGGACATCCTGTTTTTGACCAATCAAAATTGATTAAATTACAAAATATTTTCCATTCGAAAATCTAATCAACAATTTCTCTTATTATATTTGTTAAGTTCAAATAACATTAATGCTTCGATTTTACACCCTCTGTCGAATAAACAAACTCTAAAAATTGATTCTATTAGTATCACTTTATTTTGCTTTAAGTTCGTCTGTACCTTCACAAACTGTCACATATAATACTTTATCTTCCCCCTCTCTTTTAATAATACTTTCATCTTTTCCATTTTAACAGTTAAACTAAATGAGAATGTATACTCCTACAATTGACCTGTTCAAGTATCACTAAGTAATTCTTTCTGCGTCCAAATGTATGATCAGTATTAACTTATCAAAAGACTCCAAATTGCAAAGAAAAAACAGGTCTATATATACAATATTGATAATTAACTTTAAACTATACTCCCCCTGTCCCAAAATTATTGTCCAGTTTGAGATTTCACTTTTAGTACAATTTGAACTAAAAATAAAAATCCAAAGTGGACAATAATTACGGGACAGAGGGAGTATAATATAGATGTTTTGATTTTAGTTTTTCTCAAATTGATAAAATTCATTTGCAATGCGAGGTTTTCTCATAAGCAGAGCAATACAATATTAAAGAATTTTTGCATCAAAGTAACTAGTGCTAAAATGTTAGAATATCGAACGTTACTTAGTATGTCCAAGCTATAGTGTACAATAGCTGCTCATTCATTCGACAATCTAAATTTTGATGGCATTGTTATACAGGATATGTGAGATTTCATGGGGGAAAAATGTAAACAAAGTAAAGAATAAATGGAAGAGAAAAACAGCAATATATTAATTAAGCTGACTATTACAGTATTGCCAACATTTGCGAGCTTTTTTTCAAACGAGATGAACAAAACAAAAACAGAAAACAGAAACGAGAAACCACACCCTCAAAGGAACACAAACTGTTACTTGTATGTCCTCAACATTTTATTTTTCAAGAATCAACTTGTGCCAACCTTCAAGGAAGCATAAGCGTTAATGCAAGCAGACTCATCTCTGAGCTTAGCAATGAAGTCGATCCATGTAGAAAAGTTGAAGGGTTGTGGATGCAAAGCTGGAAAGTTGCCGATTTGTAGCGAATCGGACAAGGCTTTCGCTCGATGACTTTCCGATTTGTAGCGAAGCGTGACATAATATTTTGAAGCGGAAAGACTTAGGTTATGGCCATGGCTATGGCTAATTAACGTTACAATTTGTTTCTTTCCAAGCTATCCTAGAATGAGTACTTGTTAAGTGTTGGAGATTTTGGCAAGGTAATGGCTTGATATTTATAGGGTCACAAACACATATGAACTGACCTAGGCGGGCTAATGAAGGAACTATACATAAACTCAAAAGGTGATGAATGTATATACATATGAAGATGAAGTTAATTTATTTTGAACACGTTCAAAGAATTGTGTATCTTGAGTTTCCACAAAACTGTTGGCTGCCTAATGAAAATCAGGATCAAGGAAATTTGACCCTTTCTTTTGAATGATTAACTGACACTAGTATTTGTTTCGATTTCGAACAGCCACATGTATCGGGATCCTATTCAATCTGATTTTTTGGGGTTAAATTAAGATACAGTTTTTTGTTCCATAATTAAAATAAGTACATCTACGGTGGTGCAGCCTAGCTAGCTAATATCATGATTTGTTGAATGCATATAGTTTGTGGAATCGATATACTGATGAATTAATAGATACTCCACACTTAAGAGCTTTGTACTCTTTTTTTTTTTTTTTTGTTTTACCATATTATAGTTAGTATGATATATAATCCAATAGCACTTGGCTAGCCAATTCTAGTGATTCAGTTGAATGATTAAGCTAAAATTCTTGTCAAATCGACTAAAGTTTTCCGCAAAACGGCCAGTCTGATTCAGTTAAATGATTAAGCAAAAATATTTAACACGCATCAAAAGCAACTGGGGTGATGATATCACATTCTTCTGGATCGCATAAAATCAACTCCCACGACACCTACAACATTACTGTCCTCCAATCTAGCTTTCATATCGCATATACCATTTTCCACTAGGTCCGCCTGATTCTCTTGCTTTACTATTACCTTAAACTTTTCGCCCCGGAATTGAAGGTAATAAACACCTAGTTTTGATCGGAATTGAGATGGAATATCCAATGATACGTATATGTAGCAACTAAAAATCCCTTGTAATGCTACCCCGAAATAATACAACCTGTACATAGTTAATATTAAATAAGGAAAAAAAATAAAAAAACTTACCCATATACTTTTATCTGTCACTTTACTATAAATCCAATGCGGCATTGAATACAGTTTTTTTTTTTCAAAGTATTTCTAAACATTTGTTTTGAGTGGATACAAGTCAAATTACAGATTCATGTTCTCAATCAATATGGTTGATCACTTTGGAGAATAAACTTCCCAACATTAATTTTTGCCAGAATCCACACATACAGTACATTTCACTGACTAATTTTTATTTTCATTCTTTTTACTATGTGAAAGGGTGCACTATGATGAGATATATCACTTCATTAAATTACAATGAGAACTATCTATCTCCTTTTTTTTTTTTTTTTTTTTTGGTGCGAACTATCTATTCCAATGAGAACAATCACGGGAAAGTAACGTACGTTAAGCACATATGAAATAATAGTCTATATAAGATTGTGACTTCCGAGTAAATTAATATTCAATACTGGTGCTTTATGGAAAAGGTGGAAATGGATGAAATGGACCCAGACAGTTGAAATTGAAACAAAAATGCAAATAAGAATTGAATTCATCATCCAATTACTTTAATACATGGAAGGAAAGGGAACAAAAACACAAAACAAAATGAGGGAAAGCACATCAATTAAAACCCTCACAATTATTAATTAACTACCACAAATGAAGACCCTAAAATAATAAATTTTGGAGAAGAATGTGACCAATCTTGTAGGAGGCATAGGCATCAATGCAAGCATATTGGACTTGACTTTCACTAAGAACTCTTGCATCCCACTCACTCATGGTCACATTCAGAGGCTTTTCCATGGCCATCCCTCCAACTTCCCTTGCCAGAACCTTCAACCCGGGCTCGCCGTTGAACCTCCCGGGATACCGGATTTTTGCAACCTCGGGAATGTCAACGCTGTCGTTGCAGTTCAGGCCATATTCATGGTGGAGTTTCATCAAATCCCTGTCAACCTCAACTCCAACAAAAGTGAAGTTAGGGCTTATAAGGAAGACCCTTAGGAGTTGTGGAATCCGGTCCAAGTGAATCAGCTGAATGATCAAGCATTCATTGTCGATGCAAAGCTGAAGAGTGGCTGATATGTTGTCAGAATAACGAGTGTAATTTGGCCTCCATTCAATATCTAGCCCAACCGCAGTGCTTTCTTCACCATATTTGATGAAATCTGTCGAACCCAGCCTTTTACAATTTCTACTTCCTTAGTGACTGTGGTTTCAATTCTCTTCCCATCAAAGTAAACAGGGATTTTGGAGTTATTCCTAACACCATACATTTTTGCTTTTTTTTTTTTTCCCCAAGGGAAATTTGATCTCTGATTGAATGCCTGATAGTAGAATACATCGATTGGGCTACAACTAATGAGGTACTAAAGATATGTGGACATTTTACATTTAATTGGAGTTAGTACTTTCCATTCAACTTGAAAAATCCCAAGAGGTCCTTTGACTAGCTTTTTGTATTTTGCTTCTTCGGAAACCGAAATTTCTCTTCACTTCTCAAACTATGTCCGTAGGTAGTAGCTAAATACGGTGTACTAGTTTTTATAGTCATTACGTTCCATTCAACATGACCAATTCCAAGAAGCTACATACACACTTCGAGCTTATGGAAAACTTAAAAAGTCATTTCGATTCAAATCCTATATTAATGGTATATATATTCAAGATTTTTATCATGGGAAGGAGAAAGTATTTTATTTTATTTTATTTATAACTAATGCACAAATCCCACTGGCTAATTGGATGCATTCACCTTCAATTACCAATACAAGACTGCTAACGGCTTGTCCCCATCAACTCATTTTCCATTCTCAACTAATTTACCTCTTAAATATAAAACCCTAAACAAAACAAATAATCGTCCAAACAACTTTCTGATTTACATTTTAAAATCAAACTTGCAACATCTTGTCAGTGTAGTGACCATTTTTTGAACTAAATATTAGTTCAGTGACCATTTTTAGAACTAAAAATTAGTTCAGTGACTAAATCCAAAACTTTGCACATTTTTTATCCATTGTTTAGTGATCATTTTTTAAACTCTTTTTTTTACAATGACTAAAATTGACACTTTTCAATTATTTAGTGATATTTTTCGTAGTTAATATTTGAATAGAAAATAACTTTTTGCTAAAGATACCATCCAAACAACTTTTTCATCTCTTATTATATTTTTCATTTAAAATACTTTTTACATTCAAGTTGAAAATGAAAACGAAATTGACATGCACTAATGAATTAGATGTCAGGTTGAATGCTAAGTATTTCATCCACAAGCAGTTGGGCTATTACGAGGATAGTGGTAACTAGCGACTAGGTTCTACTTATTCTTAAATTTTGGAAACAAAAATTAAAATGGCTAGACTAGGTATTATAATAAAACGTAGTTCAGTTTTTGAATTAAGCTTAGTTTTCAAGTGTAGCTTATACCACACGGGGTAATAGGGAATATTATTAACATTTTATATACAAAATCCTTGCAGTCTACAAATGGCAAGTCAGTGAGTTACATCAGATTGTCTCTATATATAGTTGTGCTGCTTGAAACTCTTAGGGCATTTACAACAATAAGATAATGTGAGCGTAATGTTTGTGTAAAACATTATATGGGTTGTTGGAAGATGTATAAAAATAGTAAGAGTATCAAAATTTTCAAGCGGAGTAATCTGACAAGTCGGTGGGGTCGGTGGGGCATGGCGTCCCTCTTCTTTGTTTTTTTTTTTTTTTTTTCTGGTTTAATTAATAAACGACATGTCTTGTGTTTTTGTTCTTTCTCTTTTATAATTTGGCCATTGTTTTGGCTTTTTTCAAACTGATCTCAATTTTTTTATTATTTAGTCAATGTTAATTAAGATTTTTTATATTCTTATATGTTATTTAATTATGTTTTTATATTTTTAAAAAAACAATAAAACTCTACAATGTACTTTAAAATTCATATAAGAAAAAGATATAGAGAAGAAGTGAGACAAGCCAAAATGATGGCCTTGAATTGATTAAATTGGGGAGAAAGAGATGTAAGTAGCGCCGACTAGCTACGGAGAGCGTCGATAAAGCGGTATTACAAAGAAGAATCGAATTCATTGAAGTAGAAAACGATAAACGACTACCTATTTCTATAAAAAAAACAGGTCAAAAACTATCTAGGCTAGGCTAAACTAGAAAAAACATGATAAAAATACATAAACGAAAAAGACAAAAAAGAAAAAAAATGAATGATATCGATTGATGATGTTGAGAGGTTGTCCCTTGATGCCTCAGCTGCACTTCTTTATATAAATAGATGATCGGCCAACTCCTTGCTTGGGAAGTAAAAGAATTCAAGTGAAAAACAAGTTCTTATATTGTTGGAGTATCATAGCCTTCACGTGATTCTCTGGCCACCAAAACTTATTAGATGTAGGAAACTAATAGCATAATCAGTTTAGTCCAAACTATTTGAGAAGGAAGTCTATTAAATATCAATCATCGTCAAACTCCAACTTCCAATTAAGCCAAAAATATATAATTTTTGGCGCTAACATAAAGCCCCCCGAACGTCCATATGGAATGGAATGAGATGTGGACGTTGATAAACACATTGCCACCAATAATATGCATTCGGCATGGCACTAACATCGACGTAACACCAAGCTGCTGGAACAACAAAGTAACACGGCACCCATGCAAAATGAGGAACATAATGATTAAAACGAGGTGCACGCGTACTTTGCCGAGATATGGGACGCCTCCTTCGAAAATCCCCGCCTGTGCCAGAACTTCTTGAACTGTGTCAACACCAAGTATGGTTGCCAATATTGCCTCGGCGATTCTTATATGCTTGCTGAAACTGACCATTATGTGCTGGAGAACTACTATCATTCTGCAAACTAGAACTTGAAGTGCTCGGAGTATCACTGTTACTTTCAATTGTTTCATTAATCATCGACAACTTACTAGCATCTTCAACAGAACTTGCTTGATCATCGCCGCCCTTATCATCAATTGTCGAAGCTATACCCTGGATAATCACATCATTACTAATCCTAGCCGATACATTGTTAACCTTAGCATCGACAACCTTGGTCTCCAATACCTTGATTCTGCTAGGCCGCATAACAGAAGGTGTAAGCGTCTTTGACTGATCTCTTGCAGAACGTTTCTTTTCTCGGCCAATCAAGGACTTGAGCAATTCACGATCTTTTGCCAAATCAATCCTCCACTCTACAGTAGCACCATAATCCAAATAAGCATAATTACTGTCGCCACCATCAAAATTAATGCAGCGTAATGGAGGACCGTCATTGACCTTTTCTGCAAAGTGAAAACCATGCGGTATTGGCTTCCTTTTACTCTGCTTGCTTCTTCCATTGGCAGAACGTCTCTTGTCATAAAGCCAGGCATGATTAGACTTCTATTTAACCGGCAAGGAATCTGTTGCATTATTGACTAATTCAGCACTACTATTGCACTGTCTATCTTAGAAACCATCATTAGAAACTACAACCTATTGGTCTGTTGCTGCTTCTTTTAGAACATTAGCAACTAAGCATTGTACCGGTTGAGCTGTCACAGATAAATTGACATCAGGAGTTGCCACTCGGCATTTCTCTTGCTCGCCCTTAATTTCGTCGACACTTTGATAAAAAGAATTATCAGTTGTAGGTAAAACATTGTTGCAGCTGTCAAAAATAATCTTCTCAATATCGTTGTTGCTGCTAGAAGACTTATAAGATTTCCTGCAATTAGTCTCAACAGACTCGTTTTCAACAATAACAGGTTCATTAGACAAACAAAACAAATCAGTATGCAAACAATGCTCAGTAACACCTATAGTTTCAATAATCGGTAATGATTCACTCGACGAAACTGTATTTAGTTGCTGTGACACCTGTTCATTTACATCGATAAACGCTTGTTGAGGGTGCTCAGACTCTGTCTACAGGTCTTCCCTAAGCTTGCCACATTCAGCATCAAAATCACTAGGTAGCCCCCCGGGCGTCGACGATAAATCTGTCACAGAACTTTCTTGCAACTGATCTGCTGTCGCAGCTAAACTTCCACTTGCTTCTTGTGTCTGCTGAGTTTGCTGTACCAACTGCAAATTTTGTACCTGCGGTAATACTTGCTCATGATATTGTTCTAACGAACCCTGATGTTGCTATGTCGATGATTCTACTTGCTGATGTTGCCCCAGCAATAATTGATGTTGCTACATCGACGATAGAACTTGGTGATATTGTGGCAAAAGAAACTGCTGATGCAGTGCCTGTATCTGAACTTGAAGATGTTTTAGTGACAAAACCTGTTGCTGCAGTGCCTGCATCTGCACTTGAACCTGCTGTGGTTGCGTCTGCAACAAAACTTGTTGATGCTACGGTGACAGAACTTGTTGTGGTTGCGCCTGCAACAGAACTTGCTGATGCTGCACCGGCGACACCTGTGCTACTGCACCGGCCCATGTTGCACCATACTTTGACCATTATGTGTAACCATTAGAATACCACCAACAACCAGCCCCCCGAATCTTGAGTGAACCTTTTAGCAAATCTCTTTCTGACTTTAAGGCTTTTTTCAATGTTGCAATATCAAATTCTCCACTATCAAGCTGTTGTTCCAGCTTTCCACAGAGTACATTTGCTAGCTTTTTACCTTGGTCCTTTAAGATTTCCAAACCTTTCAAAGCGTCCGAACCAAGCATCTGTCTATCCTCATAAGCAAATTCCTTTGCTTTGTTTTCTCTTTCTTCTTGCTTTGGTCGTTCTATTTCGAAGTAAGTCTCGCATTCCAAGCCCCAAGCTTTTGCTGTTTTGTTCATGGAAATGGAAATCTTCTCGTTGAGATCCTCTGAAACCATATCGGACACCTCTACCATTGTCATCTCTCCGACCTCATTTTGGATGGTTTCCCATGCGAGTTCAATGAGAGCTTGTTTCGGATTCTCGTCCGCATACATGGCTAACTTAAAATCAACAACTTTGATGCAGATTTTTCCGTGAATTGGTACGTTGCCATTGTTTACAGTTATGGCGGTGAGAGGAGGAATGGATAAGTCTCCATCAACGTGAATATATTCTATTTTCTCTATGAAAGGGTTGAATAGATGTGTTCCTTATGTTAATGACTTGAGGTGTTTCCCGGACCGCTCAATAGAGTATGCTTCCCCTTTGGGTACAATGATCTGAATCCCCCAATCCTCCAGTGGAGGGTTCTGGTATCTCTCCTCGAAACCGCCTCTAGGGTCACGGCCAGTGGGGAGGTAACGGACGGCGCCGATGGCAGAAGGCAGGAGTGTTGGATGACGTGGAGAGAGCCGATTCTTGAGGAGAGAGGGAGGAGCGGTGGAGATGGCTCGGAGGCTGCCGGTATGGGAGGAAGGGTGGCTGTTGAGGAGTTGTTTGAGCTGCTGGAGTTGATTGGTCGACCGGGAACCAGATGATCTCAGGGTATTCATCATCATCTCTACGTTCCTACTTAAAAAAGGTTTTTTATTTTTATTTTTTGCTGGTTGTATTTGTTTGATCCTCTTTAAAACCCTAGTGCTTCCTGAATTTTTATTATTATCTTTTTTTGGTGATTTTTTTGTTTTTTTTTTTTTGTAATAGGCGGATGAAGTAGTCATAATAATACGTAAACCTTAGTGCTTCCCGGATCTTCTTTGATCGTTTTTTATTGGTGGTGGATCACATTAAGAGTTGATCCAAGAAGGAAGATCCTTAATTTTGTAATGAAATCACTCCGAATCAACAATAAAATTAGTTTTTGTAACAAAAAAAAACAATAAAATTAGTTTAAATTTATGTCTGGAGCGTAATAAAATACACGTAGTCTCAAAACATGGTCAATTAATCATGTACAAGTAGAATTTGTATGGATTATAACTTGAAAGACCTAGATTTCTATTAGATAGAAGTGCGCGGGGATAAGCTTCTTTTTATTTACCACAGCTTAATACACACGTAAACACTGACACAAGACACATATTTTTAAGTCTTCCAGGTTTCACAATCATGAAAAGACGAGTTGAAGATGATCAATAATGAAGTTTTTGATAAACTCATCAATGTTTAATTGTAGCCATTAAACAATTCAAGAATATCAAGAATTCAAGATCGTAGGGTGATTCTAACGTCGACTAACATATTCATGTACAAAGCAAGCATACATGTTTGTAACCCATTAACACACACACACACACACACACACACATATCTGATGGAATATCCGGTCCACCAAGAACTCCTTAGTTTTGTACTTCTATATCTAATGGAATGTCCGGTCCACCACGATAAACAATACTTTCGATTGGTACTGAAGGTGAAGTTGAATGGGAATTCAGTCTACAAAGTGATCAAATGATATGATAAATAACATAAGCTTATCGCACTTTGCTTACTTGCACCATTGCTAATCTACATTCATAAAATCTACTACATTTAGTACGTAAGAAGCCAATAGTTGGCACATAATTTTTTTTTCTTTTCTTAAAAAAAAAACCATGCACACACACACACACACACAGAACTAACACAAGAATCACTAATTAAGATTTCTTTATCAAGAAATGCAAACATCAGAATTCTTCTCCTCCAATTGTCATATAGCTACGAGATAGCAGTACGATAATATGTTACCTCGATAATATCATGTGCTAATAAAAAATTGATTTTATCAATACTTGCTTGGCCAAAGTGGTAAGGTGCTTAGGTTCCCTTAAGCGAGATCTCGGATTCGAGTCTCGTGAATGGAAAGAGCAATGTTGGGAGAGCTTTCTCTTCGAAAGGAGACCAACTCGGCTCGATGCGGATTAGTCTGGGTGCAATGCACTTAGGTTACCGTGCGCAGTATGAAAAAAAAGTTGATTCTGAGAGGAGGTGAATCCAAAATAACAAATGCAGTTGGATTCGACACGGCCAGGGAGAGAATTCTCCTCCAACTGTTGATCAAGAACGAGTCGTGTGGACCCTATTTTTAAAGGATTTCAATATGACGCTGTTATACGCTCTTTTGGAATTTTGAGAAACCAATATTGTAGCATGTTGATAATGCGTATTTTCACAAATGCACTAAAACAACAAAAGCCTTCTACTCGATTAACTATTATAACCTGATCCAACAACTTCGTAGCACAGGAGAAAAAAACACAAGAAAATGAATGTGAAGGCGATAACAAGTTAACAACAAACGAAGTCCACCGCCACAATTAATCTGAAAAAACCCTGTTTATTGCCTCTACACTCTAAATTCAAAACAACTAAATAATAATAAATAACTATAAGATTCAGCTAAAAACAAAAAATTTCATTTATTTCTCTCCCCACTTCAGAGCCCATTTTCTTTTGTTCAGTGGTCTGAATCCGTGTCGCCTGTACCCGAGTATTCTGATTCCGAAACCTCCTGTCCCGAGTGTTCGGATTCCAAAACCTCTGATTCCGAGACCTCCCGTAACTTAGAAGAAAGATCCTTGATTTCAAATCCAAGACACTCAATTCCCCAACCCTGAGCCACTCGATTGATCCTTGAACCTATATCCTCATCAATTCCTTCCCACGAGTCAATAGCTTCATCCGCCTCGCAGGACACCACCTCTTTCCCCATGGCGGATTTTGCGGTTTCAACCACGGCGTCGATTGGATTCTCGATCGCATACGACGCCAACTTAGGGTCCACCACCTTGAGATGGAGGTTCGTGTCCACGGTCACCACCCTGCCGTCGTTGGTCACCACATTCTGTCACAGGATCGGTATCACGTGCTCTTTCAATGAGTACTTGTATGCTATTACGTCTCCCGCGGAAGGATCCAGTTCGTGAGTTCCAGCCCTTAGCATTTTTAAGTATTTCCCCGATTGCTCAATTACGTACGCTTTCATTTCAGGCACGTGCTCGACGTTACTCGCCGCCCTCCTCGGCTCCGTCTAAATCCCCCAATTTCATGGCCGGCCCGCAGCGGAGGTGGATGATTCGGATTTGGATACAGATTTAACCTTGAAATCGGATTCGAATCCTAAACACTCCAACCCCCAATCCGCCGCCGTTTCATCAACCGCCTTGGCAATCTTGGAGTTAAGCTTTTCCCTATCCAAGAAAATTTTCTCCAGGCTGATCTTTCCGATCTCGTTTTCCATGGTCGTCCATGCAAGTTCAATCAAGGCGTCTTTTGGCTTCTCAACCTCGTAAGAAGCCAACTCAGGGTTTACGATCTTTAGGGTGAGGACTCCGTTCATCAAAACGGCGACATGGTCTTTGGTGACGGAGGTGTGAGATGGGACGGAAAAAGTGCCTTCTTTTAAGCAATAGATGTATGCTATTTGCTCTAGTGAAGGGTAGAATTCGTGGGTTCCTTCGGTTAGGGTTTGGAAGTACTCTCCAGACCGCTTGATGACATATGCTTCTCCTTCGGCACGATCATCTGAACCGCAAATGCCTCTGCCTCGTCCTCTTCAAAGCCACCGTCCGGGTCGCGGCCGGTGACGATGTGACAGACGGCCAGGGTGGATGGCATGAGTGGATGATGACTTGGAGAGAGGCGGTTGGAGAGTGGTGGGTGTTGCTTGAGGTGGGATAATGGAGCGGCGGTGGAGATGGCTCGTCAGGAGTGGCGGTTGAGGAGCTGATTTAGCTGATTGGCCGACCGGCAACTGGATCTCAAGGTATTCAAGATCATCTTCTCTTTTTTTTCCTTCCTGCTTTTTTTTTTTTTTTTTTGGCCAGGCGGAGTTGAACCCTCTTAAAACCCTAGTAAGCTTGATCATGACGCTGGTTTTTTTTTTTTTTTTTATTGGCGAATCAACTCAACAAGTCACGTAAATCCTAGTGGTTCCCGGGGCTTCTTTGATTTTTTTTATTGGTGGATCAAGTAGTCATAGTATCATGTACCGGTTCATCTTGTATCTGGAATTTAATTAATAATTAATTGGCACCATGAGTGATGGCATAGATGATTAATTGATTGCAATTAGAATACTAGTTATTGGATTAAACGCTTAAAATTATTACTAATAAGTATCTAGTAATAAATCTAAAATGTAAGGAACAAAAAATAAATATAATATTACTATTCTTAATAATAAAAAATTGTATTCTTTTATCCGTACATATTTTTTATAGTAATAATAATCAAAGAGCTTAATATCTCTACTAATAATTGTCTAATTGTGATTTAGCCCAGAAGAAGAACTATACAATTTGTACATGCCTTCTTTTTTTCTCGTTTCATGATTCACCGATTTGTTCATATTTGTTGTCCAAATATTTCTTTCAGAAATAATATATAGCCAGTCCTTTCACCAACGCTGTTCCAATTTGTTCATATTTGTTGTCCAAATATTTCTTTCAAAAATAATATATAGCCAATCCTTTCACCAATGCTGCTTCATTTTGAAACTGAGATACCCTTTTTCTTACACTTTGAGTTGTCTGCTAATTTTTAGCACTCACTTCCAGTCCCAAATTGCTTAAGGTTTAATTACATCATAAAATTTAAATATAATTCTCTATTCATCGGTTCGTTTATTTGCTAACTATTCAGCCATCGTCTTCTTTTCCCAAGCAGCCGAAATCTCATTGATCAACTCTCAGTTCTTTAATTACTGTGTTTTCTTTTATTTTATTTTAGTTCGGTCTCATGATTTTATTTGGGGCGCCTTTTTATTTTGTACCCTCTGATCCATGATCACCGTGATGTTATGGTTGGAATTCTTTTTTTTTTTTTGAGGAATAAAAATTTCATTTAATTTCTGGAAAATCGTCCACAGCGAATTGAACAAGAGGAGCAAGATACGATTGATGAGTACAATCTTACATTTGATTGATAAATTATATGAATGTACTCGTAATGAATAAATCTATACAAATCTACTCACAAATCACTATGTGAATGTATGTTGTACCAAATTAAAAATTTAGTCTCGAATACATCTCTTAAATTCTGGTGTAAAACTCTAATCATCGATCTAATAGATCAATAGGTGATTCTCCTCGAATGTGAACCACAACAAAGCACCGTACGCTTGAGCAACGGATCTGGATCCATAAATTGCAACTCGCCGATGAACAAATTGTGATCTGCAATCCCAAGATCAATCTTTTACTGAAACCGTGAACCAATTGACTAAAAAAAAGTAACAAAACAAAAACAAATATAGATATAATCCACTTATTCTTAACAAGAAAATAAAAGTATTTCTTTCCCCCATCTCCCATTAATGAAAATTTCAATTAATGGAAGATGGGGGAATGATTGAAATTTTTTAGGGTTGAGGGGAGAGGGTGGCGGCTGGGAAAAGAGAGAAGAGAAGGGTAGAAAAATTGTTATTAGGATTCCAATTTTTATGGTTGGACTTCTTATCCTATATTGTGGGTTAATTTTTTGCCTAAAACAAATCGAATCTTATTATTTTTATCTAGCTAAACTTAAAGAAACTCGATAACAACATAAGTACATCACTACGTTTCATGCCTTTGGCTAACCTTATTACACCTTCTGTCTTCAAAATAATACTTTATTTGTTGTGCTTAATTGGTGAGTACTGAGGAATATTAGTTTTGCTCCGGAAAAAAGTTTATATTCCCTCTGTCCCAAAATTATTGTCCAGTTTGAGATTTCATTTTTAGTACAATTTGAACTAGAAATGAAAAACTAAACTGGACAATAATTATGGACGGATGGAGTACTTAATGCATCATGCAACCATTTGTATCTGGTTTTAATTTTAGGGCTGCCAAAGTTGTGGAAGATATCCTTATTTCGTTTCATTTCTTGAGTCATTTTGTTTCGATAATATTATACAAGTTCTTGTACCATTCATTAATTAATGTTCTCTCACGTCTGGGAATAATTATCTTGATATCGTTCTTTTATTTTTAGTCCAAAGAAATAGACTGTATAATGCTCATGAGAATCTAGGATATCTATGAACGTGAAATAAGATTTGAAAAATTAATCTTGATGCAAATGTTCAAAACAGTGATTGTGGTTTTTGTTCTTACAAACATGTTACTCGGATGCTTAAGATGGACACGAGAAATTCAACACATGTTATTTCCCGCCATTGAGGTCACGTTCTCACAGAAGAAAACCATACATCTTCCAGATGATGTTTTGATCGATATATTCAGAAGATTACCTGCAGAATCATTGTTAATATACCAGAAAGTCTGCAAACAATGAAGATCAATATTGACAAAATCCCCTTATTTTACAAGAAAGTACTTTGAAGGAGCCACACCTTCCATTTTGATGCGGGCAATCAATATGCATGGTAAACTTGAAAACCGGACCTATTTTCTTTACAATCAAAAGGTTGATGGGAAATGGAGGTCGGAGGAGTTAATTACTCTCAAGGAAGGAACATTCTTCCCTGACCCCTATATTGAAATCATATCCTCTTGTGGCGGGATTCTTCTGCTCGAATCGTTTGCCCGTTGCGAGTTTCTGAATCCGTTAACACAAGAACATGTTGGGGTATATAGTCCTGGAAACGGTCGCTGTTGTGGCTTCTTTCACCATTACAGTAAAAATGAGTTTCGGGTTCTTTATGTGCAGATTGGAGATGGTCATCATAAAACCCTAACTTATTATAGTTACACGTGACAGGCCGTCGTCACAACTAGTTAAATAAATTCACGTACTTAACACTAGTATAGCAAAAAATAGGATCGTACCCACAGAGAAGGAATACTAATTACCAGGTATAAATTACTCCTATTATTATCTAGATAAATGATGATTTCATATTTATAAAATTTAAAACTAAAATAAATAAATAAAATAAAAGCAAATAATAATTCAAATAATCAGACAAAGAAAACCTAGGACATTAGGTTCACCTACCGAATATTTGGTTTGATTCAATTCATAAGTATTTGACTTCTAACTTCCATTAATCTCACAACGACTCACCTAATTAAGAACTACACACTCTCGTGCTATAATTCTCTTACTTAGATTAACCCTATGACTACTCTCGTGACTATAGGATCAACAAAAGCACATTAATAACTTAAGAATCTAACGTTGCAAAGGTTATGTTCCTACTGTCGTGGTTCACTACCTAAGTCCAACATTCCCATGAACTAATATTAATTTTCAACTGTCGTTCCATCAATTAATATCTTTAACATACAAGTAGTGGCCAGTTACAAACATGGAATAAAAGCAAGAATATTAAATATCGATCAATGGAAAAATCAAATAATAATGAACCAAATAAACCAAATAAATCCGACGGCTACATCCAAAATCCTAGATTAAATAATTTAGCTACACATCATCTCAAAAAAAAAAAAAAAACAATGAAACCCGGAAGAGAGAAATCGCAAGATTGAGTCGAGGTTGATAAACTGCTGCTTCGTTCCCCCTCCGATGATGTGCAGATTTACGGTGATTATGCGTGGGTGGTACTGGAGGCTTGATGGAGTTGGTTTTGGAGTTGGGGGCTGCGTGGGTTTGATGTGGTGAATGGTGGCGTGGAGGAAGGTTCGGTGGTGCGTGGAGATGAGTGGAGAAAGCAAGGTGGTGGAGAGAGTGGTCGGCGTAGTTGGTGTAGGGCGGTGATGGAGAAGGTTTGTGGAGTTGAGGACTGCGGCTGGAGGAGGAGTTTTGGTAGAAGGAGGAATTTGATGCGTGGGAAGGGTTGGTGATTTAAGGTTAAGTCTCTATCTCTAAAAATAAAACCCTAATCTTCTTTTTATAGGCTTTCCTCAAATTCTATTTCTTCAGGAATAAGAAAGTTATTTTTTTTTCAAGTCAATTTAAACTAAAACTCCTCCAACTCTTCAAGTGCTTCAATTTCTTCCTTGTCAATTTAACAAATCTTCAATTCTCCCTTTGAGTTGCTTTTTCTTTTCAATTTAGTCCAAAATCTCAACAATTCTTCCATTTGAGTACAAAACCTACAAATAAAGATAAAATCATACAAATAGCATATTTGTACTCAAAATATATTGCAAAAATTACAAATTAGGGATATAATAAATAGGTAAAATATAAGCATATCAAATACCTACAAAACTTGAATTATTGCTCGTCCTCAAGCATTTCCAAAGATTAAAGCAAATAAAAACAGTAAATTATTTAATTAAGCGGCCTCAGAGATTCAATATCATATTACACAATGACATCGACTACCTTTAATATGCACTACCTAACAAAAGGCAAACCGTTGCTACTTTTAGCCCCCACGCTTGTGTGTGTGTGCGATCCGTTTCTCAGGGACATCACTTT